GGGGGTGGGGAAAATGACACACAGTTGTTGGGTTTTTGTTTTGTTGTTTTTTGTTTTGTTTTGTTTTTTTTAACTAGCTAGCAAATGTGAGCCAGCAAGATGTACCCAGTTCAAATTACCCCCTTGATTCAATATATGAGTCATGGGAAGTAAAAATCCCTCCTTTTACCAATTCCTAGGGCAGAGATTTAAGGAACAAAACATCAGCTGATCTTTCCTATCTTAACTAACACTGGCCCAATGCAATGCTTAGTGGGAGAAAAAAATTGCCAGAAACTCTCAAGTCTCTTGGTCATGAGTATGTTGAAGCAAGCACAGGGAACAGCACGAAATGTCCATCCTGTATCCTGCTGTAAAAAGGATTTCTGTTCCATCTTTGTTGCAGTACAAGGTGACACCATTTTGTTCCCAGTTGGAACAGCAGCTCTAATAGTTTTATTAGACTTTCCCTTGCAAAAGCCTCAGAACACAAAGGACTGACTCACAAGAAAGCAACACCATGAGAAATGTGACAAACAACAACACAGTGAAATGAAGGATTTTAAACTGAACAGTGAAATGAACAACACCACATTGAAGAAAGGAAACTAACTGGTTGTTTTCCCAAGGTACTGGACTGCAGTGCTCATAGTACTGTCAATAGTTACACTAACAACCACAACATCTTTCAAGTGCTTAGTATTTCAGGTCCCTCTCAGCACAGACACAAGTGTTTTGCCCAAGACACAGATGAAAAAATGAAAGAAAATCTAAGCTGAATCTGTTTATACTAAGGCTACATCAAAAAGATCTCTCTTTTCCTCACTCACAACTGTTATACCAAAAATAAACATCTTATTTTGTCAAACTATAACTGATTATAGGTAACTCCAGGTTTCTGAATCCAACAGCCAGGAAAATATTAGAAGAAGATCACATCATTTCACCTTTTCTTAGGGAAGGAAGACTAACCCCCCAGTAAAGCTTCAAAAGTTCTCTTGACAGGTGAGGTTGCATTAAAATTTTCTCCATTTATAAACATTGTTAAAACATTATTTCTCAGTCCACACCCTCGCACTTGCCTCACCGTCTCATACCTTTACCCAATCTAACCAAATGCAACTACCACATGCAAAAAACCGTATTTGTGTATAAACCCATCTCACCAAAGTGCAGCTTCCAACATATTTCACTTTTTCAGCGGTCCTCTTCACAGATGCATAAGCAAGTTCTTCAGCAAGAGGTGAAGAACAAGCACGTGACAGAAGGCATAAACCTTGAGGAGCAACCACACCACTGCAAAATAAATCAATACAAAATCCAAAGGGACCTACTTAGTAATTCTCACTGTGGGAGCTATTGGAGGAAATAGCTCTAGCAGATGCTACACAAACTAAAGACTTTTGCTATCCTTGCTTCTCAGAAAACAGGAAGAGGCCCATGCAGTAACTTGGGGTTAAAGGGCATCACCAAGATCCTAATTAGATCGGCACAAGATCTGCCTCCTACGTAACTCAGGGATTATTGCCCCTCTCCAAACACCTGCCTCCACAAAAGCAAGCCAAAAGATGGGTCAAGCAGGGAAACTGTCAAAAGAAACTTTAGCATTGTTTTAATTGTGGTATCTCTGCACACTGATCATATACCAAATCCTTCCTGGATAAAGTCTGGAGTATACAGAACCCCTGTGAAGTGTAGCTTAAAACATCCAGACAAAACTGGCTTGATCTTCATTATGAATAACAAGCCAGACTTCTTTGCTTCTGCATCTCCAAGATAGGATGTGGCTTAATAATCACAAAAAAATCTGAAAGAAAAAAATTGCATCCAGAACAGCTCCTTAAACAGCATCCCACAATCACAAGTTCTGTAAAATGCAGAATGCTATGAGCAGCCTGGCTGTAACATGCAGAAGTACCAACGCATGCAGGCAAAAGGTGCTTGTAGCAGGCCCAACCTGTCAAACATAAGCCTCAGTACTGTGAATTAGTAAGGGAATTTGCATTATGAAGAAGCCTGTTCTGTTCCTCCACATTATTTTCTAATGACAATTCAGCATTTGGGATCATTCCTTTCCCTTGACTATTTACCCATGCCCTCAGGAAACAAAGATAATGCCTCCTGGTAAAAAGCTTTAATTACAGCATGAACTGAACTGCTGGATTTTTAAACATGCTTTAAGTAAGGCAGCCTGATTCTGGCTTTTAACTGCTAAACAAAGAGACCGACTCATGTAGTTAACAATCAATCTGGACAAGACACAGAGAGAAAACACATCTCTCAGCATGCCACAAGCTCTATATGGGAATGATCAAAGACAAGCAGCATGCAACAGAAATGGTACAATAGCTGACTCTTTTCCTCTGCTTTGTATGTTCTGACAAGAAGTTTTGTGATAGTCAGTAACTAGATTTAGAAGCCCTTATAAGAAAATCTGTATGCGTGCACATCAAGAAGAGTACAAACACCAGAAGAACTAATTTGAACTCACAGACAGAACCTGTTATCATCTTGTAAAAACGTTCAGAGAGCTTTTCATTGAAAATGCCACCTTTCCACTGTGTCAACAGAGAAGTTATTTTCAGCTAGTGAAAATGCTTTTCCCTGAAATGCTGAAACATTTCCAGACTCATCAGAAAAGCAAGGTAATGAAGAAAAGTACTTTTGAAGCCTCATACCATCATCTAAAGAGACCTCTCATACCAATAAGCCCATATGTCAGGGGCAGGGCTTGGTTTGCAAATAATGTTCTGGTAATAAAACTATTTCTGGAACAGTTTTATATTGCAGAATTGCTCATATCAGAATAGCATATTTCTACATAGAAATAACATCATAAATCAATAACTACATGCCTATTACACTTTCACAAAAATAGATATGTTTGTGTAAATGAAAGTACATTTAAAGCAGTTCAGCATATTTTTGTAGGCAATTCCTGGATACTTACCATGGAGCACGCTGGGTAGATTCTGGACATTCCAAGGAAAATATTCATCAGGCTATGCCACAGACCTGCTTGACCAATTACGTTAAAAATTCACAATGGTACTAGGCCCAAGGGCAAGGACAACAAATATCAACTCCTTTCGGCTGCTTGGTTATAATATGGAACATGAGCGACACCAAAAAGGATCTGAGAGCAAATCATTTGCATTCGATGAAACACTGACACCAGAGAGCTTGGTGAACAAAGCAGGAGCTCTGGAATGTATTTGTTCAATTTCTCAGTCAGCAATTTAATGTGCTGGCAGAGTAAATAGCCTTGTCTAAAATTTGTGTGAATGTACAAATAAGTTGAGTAATTTTACTAGGAAGTTCAGTTCCAACTCAGTGCAGAGTTAAACGAATCCGTTTCAGACAAATGAAACTCCACTTAAATAAGAGCCAGTGCATTGTTACTACCAGTCTATAAAAAATAATTTAAGTCCAGTTGGGCCAGGTTAAGTCCATGCCTGAAAATAGTAAAACCATAATCAGCTAAGTCAAACTCCCTTTTCAATTCAAAGCAGGGGAAAAAAGCAATCTTTTTTTGATTATTTTGATATAACTGTAGACCTATAAAGAAACAGCTGAAGTTGGCAGCACTGTACATAAGACAACAATGCCTGAGATTCATTCAGAGCTATGCCTGAAGAAAAAAATAATGGCTGTAAAAATGTTCAGATGCTACCAGTAAATCTGCATTAATTCAAATGATTCTTTGAGGAAAGAACATAATGCTGAATAATCATGGGAAGAGCTGGCAGTGCTGTGGTACAATCACACCACATGGTCTCAAAAAGCTCATTTGTTCATCTTGTTATCATATTGCAAATAAACTGATGAATAGATGCTTTTCAACTCCCGTTAGATGCAGAAAGAATGACAGCTCCCAAAAAGTAGGAAAGAACCAGATCCATGGAACAGCAATGTTGCAACAAAAGATGCCCTGCTCTTCTGAAGAAGAGACTCTCCTGCCCCTGTCCTCTGCCCTGGCGAGGCCTCCTCAGGAGCTGTCTGGGCTCCTGAGTTCTGGGCCTGTTCTGGGCTCCCCAGTTCAAGAAAGACAAGCAGCTACTGGAGAGGGTCCAGCAGAGGGCTATGGAGATAAGGAGGGGACTGGAGTATCTCTCTTATGAGGAAAGGCTGAGGGAGCTGGACCAGTGCAGCCTGAAGAGATGACTTCAGAAAAGTCAGGGGACCTTATCAATACAAATACCTTAATGGCAGGTGTCCAGAGGATGGAGCCAGACTCTTTACAGTGAGGGCCAGCAAAAAGACAAGGGGCAACTGGCACAAACACAAAGTTCTATATAAATAAGAAAAAAAAACTTCTTTCCTTTGAGGGTGACAGAGCACTGGAAAAGGCTGCCCAGGGAGGTCATTGACTCTCCTTCTCTGGAGATAATTCAGATCCACTTGGACATTATCATGTGCAACCTGCACCTAGGTCAATCTGCTTTAGCAGGGAATTAGACTAGATCTCCAGAGGTCCCTTCCAATCCCAACTATTCCTTGATTCTGTGATTCATGACCAATTTACTCTTTTCGCCTGCTAAAAGTGCAGCATAGGATTACAAAAGTGCTCGCAAATTAAGCCACCAATAAAAGCAGATGAAAACACAACGGCCTGAGTAGAAACCATTGCCTCATCTACTCAGGTTATGAATTCCAGATGTCATCACTTTAAAGTTATTATCTCATGATAGCCTACATTATATAAAAGACACAAAAACATGCTACCTTTGAGTCCTTACATGATGCTTCACATCATGACTAGCATGCTTTCAGCAGCAAGTAGACAGAAAGTTTTCTCAAGCTCCAATAAGAACCTCCAAAGTTTTCCTGAAGTAACAGTAAGAATGACAATGCCCTACCATGAGTGACAGATAATTCCTATAGTAAAATCTGTGTGTGTGGACATGTACATTTGTACACATGAGAGATATAAACAAGAATGACAAGGGAGTATAGGAAATAGCAAACCCATTCAGATGGGTATTTTATTCAGACAAGTATTTTTCATAAAACAGATTTACCTGAGACTCTAACTCCTCCAATTTACGCTTCCTGGCATGAAGAGCTTTGCTTGGAAAAGCCCAGAAATAATTGGAAGTTCCAATTCTATCAGTGTCCACCATGCCATCATCAACGAGGCTTTGCAGAATCTCTTTCACTGACATAGAGGCTAATAAAAGCAAAAATGTAAAATCAGAACTGCATAGCAGCTGGAGAATTATGAATACCACAAACTACTATCTACAATCATCTGTATTTTCCTCCAGTGTCAGCTAGCTGGAAGATTTCACAAGAAAAACATGCCCAAAGCTTCACTTGAAGGGATGAATCTCTCTCAAACCAGCAGTTCGCTCCTAAACACTGCTATTCTGCACATCTGCTACCAGATGTTTGCAAAACACTGCTCAGGAGTTTTGCACAAAATACATGCATGGTACACTACAATACCATAACAAACCCATGAGAGGTGCCTGAGAAGCTGTCTTGCAATCTTAATTCTAACTTGGATTAACTTGTTTAAGTTTCCTGATTGGGAGTGTAATTGCATTTCACATTGTAATGCTTAACAAAGTATTTCATAGCAGCAGAGGCACTAAAGCCATCTGTCTGCAGACTCAGGAAGGACAGATTCTGGGTTTAATCATATTCATTTCCAATATAAAGCATCATTTACACTCACAAGCATCAACATTTCTGAACACAACTGATCATTTCCTTTCAAACCTGTGGTATAATTCACCATTTTAAAAAAATGGTACCTGTTCAACAAAGTTAAGTAGTTATGTTATCCTCAGGTGTTGCAGATATAAAGACTTTCGAGCTTAATTATGGGTTTTGGTACGTGATGTTCAATTTCAAGACTACAGTGGGCCCACATCTTTTGGAAGCTATAGGCTGGATGCCAGGAGGGGAACAGGTTAGTAATCTTTCTTTTCAGAGTAACTAGGGCTTGGGTTGTGTGGCTAAATGCCTTCATATGCAGAGACAGGATGAATTTGGACTATTCAAAGGTGTTAATGGCTTTATAAACCCTAAACTCAATTTTACTGCAAATTACAACTAAACATATGCATTGACAAACCAATCAAGACAGCACCACATCTCTTCAGAAGCCCACAAATGTCTCTGTGAGCTGCTGACAAACAGAAAAACTCTGCTTTGTGATATTCACATCTGTAGTTCTCTCAGCAAGTTCATTTACTCTTGCAGTGCCACCAAGACATGCTGGAAAAGGACAGTGGTAACTACACAAACATTATGCTTTGCCTCCCTTTTGTCAATGAGCATAGAAGGAAAACTAGTAACATACAAAACAATCCAAGAGCATAGATAAATCCTCCTGGACCTAATTCTAAACCAATGGATCTCATCAGGAAGGCTTTTACAGAAAAGACAAACCCCTTCTATTTGTAGCTGTCCAGCCATTTTTGGAGGGGGAAAAGCTCAAGAGCACACTGCTCATGTATATTTGGACAAGCATTTTAACCATTTGTGATATTACAGGTAGATATTTAATACCTGAGTGCAAACAATGATTTCATACACTGAAAGTCACTGCAAGTCAGGTAGCTCAGAGCCTAAGCAAGCCCCCATCCCATGTCACTTTTAACACTACAGCCCTGCCACTGACCAGTCTCCCATTCTAGCTACATTTTCTGTTATTAAAATCACAAACCTAAGATTGTAGCCAGGAAAATTTACACTGTAGGACCTGTCCCAAAAATGATTACTTGCTCAAGAGAAATAACTTTTATAAACACTTACTAATCCCTTTTTCTTTTGGAGCAATCTTCTCTAGATCCTTCAACTGGAAAACATCTTTCTGTGCAAAACATGAAAGACATTTCAGTTCCAAATGACAGCACCATCTAAGCCTGAGTGTTTTTTACACTAAATCAATGCCAACAAAATCAAGTAGGAAATACATTGTATGTTTTAGTTTTGCTTGAGGAAACTTGCGTGTCCCTCAATAGAACTGGAACATTCTGAGAATTAATAAGAAAAGCACTATTATTGCAATAAGACCTGCTCTTTCCTTTGGTGATCTGAAGTCATCATATTTCATCTCCAGTTAAGACTGTAAAGCCCTTAAATCCCAGGTTAGACTGTCAGCACAGATGCACCATATTGCTTCAGTACTCAACTGTCACAGTTTTTTTTTCTAAAAGGGAAAACATGGTGTATTACATGTGCCACCAATTCAATTGTAGCTCAGCTTTTGGATCTCCAGGTTTCTTCTCCCCAGGGGCCCTTTCCAACTCTGCTCTCAGTTTTTCTAAAGCCCAGGTTTCTTCCTCCTCCCATAAAATGCAGTGAGATACTTCCTAATTTCCTGGTGTCCCCCCTTATGGTAACATACTCAAAATGAGAAGATATGCATAGGTAGCACATGAACTTAACACCACCTGTGCATCTTCATTCCTTGGCTCCATCTGGGTATAAGCCACCTGATTAGAAGTTAAATGAATGAAGTTTTGCCCCTGAAATTTTCACCCTAATGTCATAGGGTGTCAGTGAAATGCCTGCCAGGGCACAGAGTTCAGCTACATCCCCAGTTAAGCTCCTTTTAGGACCTGTTTTCCCATCAATGTAAATGCAGGACAATTACAAGTTACTTACTGTTTCAAAAAAAATCTCCATCATGCGGGCCCTCTTCTCTTCAAAACTCAGACCTTTCTTCTTGGACTAGAACAGGAGAAAAAATAAAAAAACTAACCAAAACATTCAGCCACCAGAATAATTAGTATCTGCTCAGAATTCAAATCTATTCACCTGTAAGTTGTATTTGCCATCCTTTAAAATACCTTACCACTAAGTCCAGACATTCAGATAAACTCCTTCTTTGCAAATAATCTCTACACTAAGCTCATCTGTTAAATGGAAGGACCTACCCTTAAGTTTGGAGCCAGCCATTCATATAACCCAACCCCGCTCCAGCCTCAATGCTCCTTGATACATACCAATCCCAAAATATGTATTTATACCAAATTTACACAAATGTTTAATAACTCTTATGAAGATAAAGAGTACCTTCTGTTTGGCTTGGGTTTTTTTTAAGAATTGCTTTCTATACTGTGATATACAGAAAGTAGTGTGAGTTGTAGGCCATTTGGGTGTTTTTAAGGAGATAAAGAACATTTTGAGGTATGCCTTTCTTCAAAGGTCCAAACCAACTTCATCATTTCAAGGTCACATTTTTAAAACAGTGCTGCTTTTATTTCTTTTCCTTCTGGTTGTCTGACCAAGCATTAAACAACATGGGTTGAGCTACAAGCAAAAGGCAGAAGTGGCTACAAACTGCTATCAACTGTTGGAACTCAAAATGTCCCTCAGACATTTTTAGAGGTTCCAGGCCTTGGTCAGAAGCATTTTAGACCCTGGCAAGCAGCTGGAAACAGCTGTGATTTTGAGTTTGAGCCATGGAAGGAGTTACCAACTTTGAAGTTGGAACAAGCAGTCACAAAGGGTTAGATGGTACAAGCAGACGGATTTAACCTCATTTAACTTCCACCTCCTGCCTTCTCCAAGAGCGCTGACACCGCCAGCAGCAGCAGGAACACAACGCGTAGGCACTACGTGGAATTAAAGTGGTATTTCTGGAACCATGTGCTTGTAGCGACGCCCCTCGGGCGCCAAGTTTCACACCGCCACTCCAGCGAACAGAGCAAAACAACGAAGCCAAGAGCACGCTCGATGAAGGTTATTGACTTTCACGTTAATTTCTCCCTCACTGGCAGGCGTTCCCCACCACAAATACCACCCACACACGAGCACCCATCCCGCTGCGGCGCCCGCAGGCGGACGGCAGAACGCGGCGCTGTGACCGCACCGGGCACACCGCGGTTCGCTCCGCCCGCTCCCACCGCCCCGCAGCCGCAGCCTGGCCGCTCCTGGGCTCCCGTGTCTGGGGGGAAGCAGCGGGCACCTCGAGCCTGGAGGAGGCCACTCCTCCGGGTGCTGGCTCGTTTACATCGCTCTTTACCAACCCAAAGGCACGGCCCACGCCGTGCTGCCGCTGCACCTCCACAACCGGCACCGCGGGGCCTGCCCGGAGCGGGAGCCCCGCTCCCCTCAGAGCCACTGGGGCGGAGGGACAGCGAGGCGCGGGCGGCCGTCACCGCCATCTCTGCGGTCGCGGCTCCCCCCGCAGCCTTTGCTGGCTCCCGGGAAGGAAAGCGGGGCGAGGCGGAGGGCTGGCGGCCCCGCTTACCATGTCGCGGGCGGCCGGCGCGGTTTGATTCCGGCGCCACCGGGCGGGAAGAGCCCGGCGGGAGGGAAGGCGAAGGGAGGCCGCGTGCGCAGCGCCGCCTGCCGCCCGCCCCGCCCGGCCCGGCCCGGCCCGGCCCTCAGCGCCCTCACGGCTGTGGCGGGAGCACGGGGAACGTGCGCGTGGCTTTTGTTTGGAGTTCTGTGGGTTGTTGTTTTCTTGGTTTTTTTGGGTGGTTTTTTTTGTTTTTTTTTGTTTTTTTTTTTTTTTTTGGGGGGGGGGGGTTTGCCTGCTGGCTGGTGCCGTAGAATAAAACCGAGCGCACAGCAAGAACGTGTTAGCCGGGGTCTAACGCCACGTGTATTGTGCTACCGGCCTGTCGCAGGAGCCACGGGCCGTGGAAAAATAATAAATAATAAAGCCGTCAGTGCCCGTGGAAGGGAAGGGCCTGGCCACATCTGGTGTTGCTTGAAGCAGTTGTTCATTGTGATGACTGTTCTCGCAACTTTAATTACTGACGGCTTGTTTTAATTATTATTTGTGTTGTAAATCACTTTCCTTCAGCTGCAGCAAGTTCTGAGAAATCGCTTTGCAACAACAGTGGCTTCATATCTGCCATACTAAATCAAGAGTTTAAATTCAAGCAAATGAAAATGTGCAAGCTGAGATGTTCAGACAATTCCTGTGAATATTTTTGATGCCTTTTGCAAGGTGACCCCTTCCCTGAAACCTGAAGTTCTTTTCCATGTAGCCCATGATCCCATTTCTTGTTGTGCACACCAGTGTATTACTAAAAATGAAATGCAAATTAGAAAAGACATTTATAATACAAAGCTTTTTGTTCTTTTTCATGTGCATCACATTTCCAACTTGCTAACTCGGGATGAAATCTGTTGGTACACCCCCTCATCTGCTGTTCAGGGCTCATATTCTGTCTCTCTGCCTTCCATTTCTTTTGGCCAGCCCTGAAAGCGACAATGTCCCCATGCTTGCTGTGACAATTCTTTTCCACCTGTCACCCTCACCACTGCAGTCCAAGGGTCTGGGCCCCTTCCTGCTCCTTCACAGCCTGAAACAAAACTGAGCTCTGCTGTTTTTCTACTGCTGCCAAGCAAATAGCTGCTGCAACATTTGCAAAGTCCCCATTGCAGCGTGGATTTTCTCCGAGTGACACGTATGAGTGGCAGGGTGGGTGTCAGAGCTGAATATGCTACCTGCAGTCGAGGAAGAGGAGAGGAAGAAAGGGTTTTCAGGGGGGCATTCACTCTTGATGTGGGCTTGGGGCAAGTATCTCTTGTCTTCTGTTCAGTACTCATGAGGCAGCAGTGCTCCCATCTACCTATTACTTGTGACAGAAAACTGCCAGCAAACACCCAGGTGTCACCCCCAGATAGAGCCAGCACACAGCTGGAGCACACACCTGGAACCACAGCTGGAATGCATTCCTTGTTTCAGAGGTTGAATGTGATCACAGCAACCCAGAGGGCCCATCCACCTCCAAAACATGCTCTTGAGTGATGGTGGAGCAAGTGGCATAGAAGGGTTTTTCTGCCCATGGCCCCTGGCTGATGCCTTAAGTTTTAGCTTTCATATTTTCCAGATTCTGTACTGCATTCCTATATAACTCTGAACTTCATATAAAATGTTAGCAAGTTCACCTCACAGTTTAGTAAGACAAAACAATCCTTTTCCAGCCTGAGAACCAAGAACACTGTTGCAGCTTCAGTCCCAAAACGTATAAATCAACAGCAAATTGAGGAGAGCAATCTGGAAGGATGGTACTTCATAACCTGAAGCTGTAGCTGGTCAATTAACCCCAATATATAAATGGACCAAAAGTTATAAAAGTGTGAAAACTAGTGACTGGGCATCCATCTTGGGTGGAGCCATGGCCAGGCTCTTGTACTGCCCAAGGTGTATCCTTTGAAGGCCTTTTAATAAATACCTACTTTATTCCTTTAACACTGTCTAGCCTCTGTTCTAGGATAGCCTCTCAAGGCATCATGGGGATAGCCAGGGTCAGCTGCCCCAAGTGCCCTGGCAGCCCTGAAGCCCTTTCACAGTGTCAGGAAAATACACAAAAGCCAGAGGTTTATGTCCAAAAAGGAGACAGAGCAGTCCTGCAACTTTAAATAAAGGAAAAGTCCACTGGGGCACGCGCCCACAGGGTTTTTTCTCTCTGGAGGTTTGAGGGCACAGCCTCCTTTTATCATAAACTCCTGGCCTCGTGTTGCCCCTTCCTTTCCCCATTGGCTGAGGTACTTGGAAGGTACAGCCTTCCCAAACTGCCTACCACGTATCCCCCCCTTGTACCTACTATTTTACCCCAAAGCAACTCCAGCTTGTGCAGACCCTTGTTTCGGGAGCTAAGCTGTCTGGGCTCTGCAGCAAACCCACTGCCCAAAGTTAGTACAGACATTAAGACCCATTTCAAACATATTAACACCCATACCTTCACCCAGCAAATTGTTTGTAAAGACATTAGCTTTCCTCTCCGGCTACATCACCGGGTTCAATTTGCTCTGTAATAGACGTTCCCTAACACCTCCCACATTTTGCAGCACCTGATTAAAACTAATTGGTTGAAAGACCATGGGGTGAAAGAGGTCCCAAACAAAAGGGTGTATGTTGCGCTTTGTCATTTGAGGGCTGGTTTTCCATTACTGCAAGAAGTGGAATGAATGGCTCCTAAAATACATAAAGGCCTGGTATTTTTAATGGGCTTCAGAATGTCTAAATGTGGTATTTCACAAAACTGCTAGTCTTATGCTATGATTCTAAAAACAAGACAATGGATGGAAATACAGTGTAATGGAGACTCATAACTGTGTCTTTCTGTTAGAATATTATTCCCATTTTTCTGTGATTTTCTTAAGCTTTAACAATTTGGGCTACATTTTCTATTCTAGGAGTCTGACAGATCTTTAAGTACTGGTCAAAATAGTTTTCCCCTGTTCCTGAGTTAGAGAAAATACAGTGCTTTGTCAGTGTAATTATGCTTGGATGAGATGAAATTTGTACTCTCCTTAATTTTGCTCTTACAATTGACTGTAGCTGAATTGCAATCAGAAATTTGAAAGGACAAGAAAGCGACAATGGCAGAAAGCTGAGCCACTAGAGAATGAAAATTTTCCTAGTTTAATTTTGTTCTTTTCATACATATGTGCCACAGCACAGTCTTAATTAAAAGAGCTATTTTTTTTCATAAGGGAAGAGCTCAAATCAAATATGGCAGGAAAATTAATCCACAAACACCAGAGGTTTATGTCCAAAAAGGAGCTAGAGGAGTCCTGCAACTTATTCAAACAAAGGGAGAGGCCATGGAGCATTTCCCATGGGGTCTCCCAAATTTTTAGGGCACACAGCCTCCTTTTTATCCTGATTTCCCAGCTGCGTTTCCCTCCTTCCTTCCCCACTGGCTGAGGTACTTGAGAGGTACAGACTCCCTGAAACACCTAATACCTAAAACCCTTTCTAATGTACAAACCCCCCTTTTTTCTTTTTCTTTGTGTCTCTGTTCTTTTTCTCTAAATACAGAGATTTAGCAGAGTCTTGAGTGAGTAACAGTCTGTGTCAATTAGTGGAACTCCTATGGAATTTATGGTTTCCCCCATTGCTTCTTTCACCTCACTCTATCTGGCCTTATCTACCATCAGGCCCACAGTTTGTTTGTAAAGACACCTCCTTCTCATTCCTTTCCAATAGCAGATCATTTTATCTCTAGAAGAGTTAGATCAAGACTTTTGAGTCCTGTGGCTGCCTCCCACAGCACCTGTATGAGCTCAAGCATGGAGGACGAGGAGTTACTCACCCATGGGGGTGATACCAACTTCTCTGGGATCCAAGCAGTCTGTCATGGGCCGTGGCTACACATCAAGGAGCAATATGATCCATAAGTATCCCATATAGGCCAGCCTGTAGCATCTACTGCCTCATTCCATCCTTGAATGAGCTTTTGGACTGTAAGCAGGTGTTCTCCCTACAAACATTTAACCCTTGAGGGAAAAACGCTTGGTGAGAAATGCTAGCTGGCCCTCCCCCAAAACTTACTGCTTCCACAGCTTTGCTAGGCAGAGCTGCTGAAGTGAGCATCACAGTTATCCTCGAGGTGAGTAGCTCAAACACTAGGATTTTGGTCACAAGGCATTTCTCTGAAGGAACAAGGCATTCACATGCCTAGCTCACAACAAATCGGAGGGCAGCAGCCTTCAACTGCATGTAGCAATGAGCAGCAAGTGCTGGGTATCTCCTGCACCAGCACAGCTGGGGCCTGCCTAGGGAGAACATCTGTCCACAGAAATGGCATTGACTGTTCCACTCCACTGAGATAGTTCAGTCTGGTCCAAGTTAGAGAGCATTCGCATGAACTGTCAGTAAAACTGTGGAGAGAGTTAACTGCAGAGCAGCACAGCTGGATGTGAGAGAGAACATCAGCCTAAGGAACAAGGAAATGTTTTTGAACACGCAGTGGCATGTTAAGGGCTACCACTCTAAAGAGAGAAAGCCTGTTAAGGGTGGCTGCCCAAAGTACCTGCTCCTTTAGCTACTTTGGCGCTATTCTCCCTGACATTGTTTCTCATTGGTGAGACTGGGTTCTCTAGTCATATTTACAGAATTGCTAAAGATTCTACGCCTCATTTAGGTATTTTGATAAGTACCACAAGAGGGTCAAAGAGGAAGTTGGCCATTCACTGCAGATATTTCCTGGTAAACAAAAGTGTCCCCCAGTATTAGTGTTCGGCCTGTCTGATTTTGCTCAGTGGTGAAGAGCCTCTGCTCTAGTAACCCAGGGAACAGAAAACATTTCTAGCCTATCAATAAGACAAGATTTGGAATGTAACAAGCATCTTACCTACTAAGCCCAGTGGTTTCAGGCTATCCTGTGTTATTGCTTCTAGTCTTCGTGATCTTTTTCTACACAGGAAGGAACAAGTGCTCTGCAACTCTGAATGTCAATCCAACACTGCTCTGCTTCAAGATGTTCTTTTAGCTGGCAGACAAATAAAGCTTTTTGTAATTATCTGAATTTAAGGGCAGGTAGACAAGTACATTCAGCACCAAGAGTCTATTTGCTGAGTGTGTATTCATCTGGAGACTGACAGAAAACCAAAACTGATCCATTACATTGTACTAGGTTTGTCCTTAGGAGAAAAATGAGCCTCAGAACATGGCTGCTGACACTCCCTATGACTTGCAAGAAAGAATAAAACACATATTCCTCTAGAGGGTTTAGGGGAAAGATACACAAAAATGGACAGCTGCTCAGTACTTCAGCTGTCTCATTTCTGACTGTCCTGCCACTGAGCAAACACTCATTGACCCTGCTAGTCCCCTCCATTGAGGTTGCATCCAAGCCAAATGATGCATCTGAAGATTCTGTCTTACTTCGTGAGCAAGTTCCCAGTCACAATGAGTTCTCAAATGATTCCGGTTTGATTCAGTTCTCAAATGATTCAGTGACCAAGAAGACATAGGAACTATGTTAAATTGAAGTTAATACAAGCTGGAAATTTGTTCTTACAGAAACAGTCAGATTGAACTCCTAAGGCAAATTTTCTATTCTCCACAATAATGTAATTTGGTTTTCTGCAACAGACTGTTGAAAGATTATATTACACCTCAGCTAAAAGATACTGTGTACCTGTGATGCAAGCAAAGAAGCTTACAGCTCTTAATCTTACTGCCACCAATTAAAATCTTAATTTTGATTCCTGGACTGAAGAAGGAAGAGAGGAACAAGGAAGCTCCAACTCTGCACCTTCTTCCCAAGAACAGCTCAAGTCCCTCTTTGCTCTGTGTTAACATAAAAATTTAACACCCATGAAAAAAACGCTGTTTGCTTGGCTTGTGACCTGTGGTGTCCAGGAAGAAAACTGGAAAAAATTACCTGTCTTCCTGCATTATGGGGTTACTTTTAGGGACAAGTGAGTATAAGACATATGAAAAATAAACCCTCAAGCATGCAAATAACAGAGGAAACAAGCTTTATTTTTATTATTTGAAATTTTTGTGCGTGGTAAAGGTACACATTTGACTCTGGTTTTCCTACATTTCCAAGACAGAGTAATTTTTTTTGTCAGCTAAAGCATTATGAATACCATGGCACACAGGAAGCTAAAACTACACACACACACGCGCACACACACGCACATACAAACACTTTGATGTGCATCTTTCATCCTTGACCTTAAGGAGAGAAAGTCTGTATTTAGCTTCATAGGGATTAAAAACAAACAAACAAACAAACAAAAACAAAAAACCCAAAAACATCATCATTGAAACAAACAAGTGAGAAGAATATTTCATTATGAGTGTCAAGAGAGTGCAAGGTTTACATATACACAAAACATATATTGACTTACAAAGATGGAATGTACAAAAACTTTGAAAACACATGAAAAAAAGAACTGGAAACACTCCTAGAACTGGAAAGTTGCAGCATATCAACTGGTAGAGATTTCTGTCAGAGGCTGCTGCCATACACTATGTAACTTAGGGAACATTCCCATGTCATAAAGCCAAAGAAAAAGTGTCAGGGTTAAGGCTGTGTTGCTCACAAACATTGACTGAAGTGCTGTACATTTGTCAGAAATAAAATGACCTGTTAGGAACCTTCCCACTCCATAGTACAAAAGGTATTTTATACACTTTCCACAAACAGGTCAGATAATGCCTGCTTGAATTCCTGAAGAAAAATTTGACTTTACATCACGATTTCATAAAAAGCTGTCTCCCACAACTGAAAGTCATTTCTTTATAATAAACACAACATATTGGGCACTTAACAGTTCTCATTATGGCAACACTAGATCCTTATTATTAAAAATACTGACATAAAATCAAAAGCCCTCTAGCTTTTACAGAACAAATGAACATTTACTAGTAAATAGCACTCCATCTTCATGAGGCAATTGCTTGCCTAAACCATTTTCCTTTTCTTTTTCAATACATTGGTGCTGGTTTAACCTATGTAAAACTCTCCTATTGTTTATATTGGATTTATCTGAACATATCTTTTTATTCTATTCACTGAACAATGAAAATACAGTTGGCTAGTTTGTCCTAAAATGCTCCATATGCCACAAGATCTAATAACCTTTTGAGATTACTTTTGAGTTGAAGATTAGTTAAATGAAGCAAATACTTTCACCATTCGTACTGTGCTGCTAGTCAATTAGAAGTTAAGGGGACATTTGGTTATACCTGAAATCTGGCAGCAGCGTGCCTATAAAGCCTTTAATAAATGCTAACAACTCAGCAAATCACATAGTGCAATTCTGACCTTCCCTTAACTGGATGAGAAAAAAAGTCTGCCAGCTTTTAAGTGCAGAATTTCTGCTTTGGTTGCTCTTTGTAAGGTTTGTAAGCCAAGCATTTTAGCAAAATTGGCTTCAGAAGCACCATAAAAGCAATGTGTTTCTCAGTTTCCCAGTGCCAGGCAGTTAAGGTCAGACCTTGGAAGGGAATGCCCTATGCCACTAAATTTGAAGTTGAGCATTGGCTATCAGAAATAAATTCAAATGCTGACAGCATTTGCTATCAGAAGTAACTTCAAATTCATGACATTCTTTAGGTGCTGCTCTGCTGATAATATCTGAAAATCCAAAAGACTACTCAGAAAAAGACCACAAAACTCCTAATAGCTTTCAGCTGGGTTGTAAGGGGGGGTTAGTGCAGAATTCACTTATTTAATCAGGATGTACTGGGTTCACAAGGGTTATCTAAAATCCTGGTAAACAATGTTGGACCAAAGGACTGAAAAACTTTTGAAGAAAAGTGTATACATGAAATAGTACAGTCTTAAATATCTTTTCTGATATATGGGTTAGGATCTTATTTTCATGCTTCTCAAAGTACCTGACAACAGTGTTTTGGCAATGTTTTCTGAGGGGCAAATATGCAAGCTTAGTAAAATTGTATTATAAAAATCCATATTTGAAACTAAATATGATAACTGACAGCCACAGCACATTTAAAAAAAAATTTATCTCAATCTGTGCAACCTCTTCTCTTCATTACTAACTACAGTTCGAATGTCTTTTCTTCATTGATGTGCCATTTAAGGGTCTTCCAATGTCAGAAAATGTTTTAAGGACACTTAGAATGAAAATTTGATCTACAGCTTTGTTAAATTTTGATAGGACAGTTTATTTGTAATGACCGAGATACCATCTTCAGAATTTTAGGACAAACTCAGTTCAAGCAGAGGATATTTTGTTTTCTTAGTAATAACAAACTTGACTTTTAATATTAATAAATGTTACCATCAGTTTCTTAGCTTCATTATACAGTCCTTAAGCTTCATGCACAAAATACTTATTCCAATGAACTAAGGAAACTTATATTTGCACAAGAAATTTTAAATTGGTTTATGTGCAAATAACAAACAAAGGAAAGAAGAGGAAATATCTTCAGGAAACAGTAATTAAAAACCAGACAAATCCCCCATTTAAGAACCTTGGGGTCTGCATTTTTACAAATCAAATGCAAATTAGAAAAAAAACCATTAGTTTTTCTCAAATTCATCAGAACAATCACCTTATGTTTTAGAAATAAGACAAATACTTATAACAAAAAAAATTATCAAATATTTCTTTCCATTTCGCAAACATGCTTAAAATACTCCCTTGTTTCTGACCCAATGCCCTTTTGTTTCAAGGCTCTAAAAATGCGAAAAGAAAGACAGCACTTCCCAGGCTGTTGTAGGCATTGGCAGCAAGCTCACAGCTCCTCAAACAACACTTAGAAGGGAGCACCACTCTATCTACAGATAATCAGGCTACAGTAGCAATTCAACCTTTGACCACTGGATATAGAAATAAGAATAAAGCCAATGCTACTTTAGAAAGACAAGTTCATACTTAAAAACCCCCCAACAAACCAAACATTAAAAACAGAACCATGCCTGTAAGCATTTCCAGTTAAATTAATACTTCAACAAAGAACACAGTAGAGAGATCTGGCAGAGGAAGAAAGGTCATTTTTCAGAGTACTGCCATTGTCAAATATCATACATACGTTCCAGTTTGCTGAAATAACCCACATTTACTTTTTTTTTCATTTTTATGTCAATCAGTCATACATACATACATACAAACAAATTGAAACAAATCTCACAGTCCTTGTTTTGTTCTCTAACAAAATTCCCTTTGATGAAGGACTTCAGGAAGTGGTTCAAATTCATTTTTATTTGTAACATATTTTTTCTCACATAAAAAGAAATAGCTTTGGTAACCCCTGGCTTTCCTACACAACCTCCATTTACCACAGTTCCTTTGGTTGTATAATGTAGGTCCTCCACAGGGTACTTCTCTGGCTTTCTGTCCTGTGTGAAGCTGCATTTTATTTTAGAGGTTAATACAATGAGTTGCCGTAAGGAAACATGGCAATGAACACGTACGAAAGAGTGGCACACATGAGGTTAATTGACTTGACATTGCAATAACCCTGATCCTAATGAACTAGTTTGGTGTCAGAAGGTCTGTGGTTATCAGAAATTCTGCTCCCACTAATGTATCACTACAATTGAGTTTTTCCAGAGCTTTAGAAATGTCAGTTCTCTGCAAAGTCCTTCCTGCACATTGAGCAAGAGGAAGAGTGAAAAACAGCCGCACGAAACAATCCTTCATTAATTCCACATGAGTAGGGAATTTGCATTGATTCTCATAGTGCTAAACACTGAGCTGTGTTAGGTCTGACGGTTAGAGCTAGACTGATTTTGTGAGACTTAACCTTATACTAAAAGGATCTACTTGTTATACACAGTAAGACGGAAGAATGTTAAAAGTGTAATCTACCATGATAATGAGATATAGAAGATTCCCAGGATCCCCTCGGGGTTAAATAATGTGTAAGAATGATACTTCTTTAAATTTGGAAGCTCTGAGCAGAAGCTATCCTTCGCAGTCATCAAAAAGCTTTGGGGACTTCCCCCAGACTTTTCTCATTTTTGCCTTATTATTTAATTCTAGTTTCATAGGATGCAGTTTGTGTTTAATTTCACATTGTCTTTATGAATTCAGTTACAGAGGATTTTTTTTATTAACACTTAACAACAAAAAGTTCAGTGAGAAACATAAGAGGTGCAAGCCCTATGTAAACAAGGTAAGTTTGGAAATTATCATGAGAAGTCCATAAGAGATGCCTTTGTTATTAAAAATAAACACAAAGTAGGAGATATCCTGAATCTCTAGGACGAGTCTTTTCTTAAGGGTGGGTGATTATCCAGCTCCAGAGCTCATTGCTACTGTAAATATCGATAGACCTTAAAGCAGTGATTTCCAGAGTCTGCGACTACAACATGGCCATCTGAAGTAAGAGCCAGACCTTGGGGACCATAAAGTGGGTCAGCAGAGGTGTTAATGTAGGATAAAAATGATCCACTTCCATCAAAAACCTTTGAGGGTAAGAAAGCACAGAATAAATGTTATTAATAAAAAAGGAAAGTAACAGACACAAGTCTGCTCTCAGACTGTTATCATTTCTGAAACAGTTGACATACTATAGAATAAAAAAGGGTAAAATATGTTCTGTTATCTCATAATATGCAAGACTATATATAAATGTATGTTCTTATTAAAAAGAACTAATTATAGCTGCTAGGCTCTTTGGCAAGAATTAACACACAATGAAATAATAATAATAATAAAAAATAAGAACCTCATCCGTTCTTGTTATAAAAATAATCAACTATAATAAATCAAACTTAATTGTGAACTCAACCAACACCTTGTTTTCCTAACAAATATCACTGTTGTGGCTAGCCTGATTCTTAGGTTCCCACACAGAGAAAAACAGGAATTTGCTTATCCTGTTGACAGCACTTCCTGAGAACAACTCATAAGCAGCTCCCTCAGTTTTATATTCAGTGGAAATAATGCATACACTTATTTATTAGGTATTCTTTGGCAAACAAGAAGACCTTGTGATTAGCACTTAAAAAGAGTGCAACTCTCATAACTTGAAAGCAGAATAATTTCTCAACATTTAAAAAAGAGGATAAAAATCTGCTGCATTCACATATTTTGCATTTTCATATTTTCCACTATGTCTCTGATCTTCTGTTATGGTGACTATAAATTACTATAATGTCAGCAATGCTTGGAAGTCTCTTAAGTCATCAAGTAACTTTGGGGGAACTACTTGGTCCCAAAATCCTTGGTCATAGCGGCCATCAGAGCTGCCAGCAGCCACACTGAAAAGCTGACAGTCTACCACCACCAGGTCTGAAAGTGGACAATGAGGCATATAAAGGATGGTGTGAGAAACCACATCACTTATGTTGATGGTGTTTCTTGGGCAGTCTGAAGGCCAGAGTTAGCAACCCATTTTTTTTTTTTAATCAAGCACCTTTGAAATACAGAAATTTTTACCTGTATTCGGCTGTTTCCCCAATCTGCTACAATAATATTTCCATTAGAATCTACTGCTACTCCAGTTGGTGCATTAAATTGCCCATTTCCTTCTCCATTTGATCCAAACTTCAGCATGAACTCTCCCTCCTGGTTAAAGACCTGTATGGGTTAACACAACAACCTAAATATGGCATGGAATCAAGTATTAGTAATCTAGTGCTACCAGCTCACCTGCTAATTAAACGAGGAATTAAAGAATTCCTAGGCACACACAGCCCCAACACACACACACAAGATGGGAGAAAAGGTACCCATCTCCTCCTTCACTCCATTACAACATATAGCATTTCCCTTCTCACTTAAGATCTGATTTATCTCAGATACGGAGGCAAAGAGGCCCAGAATTCTTCTGCAGCTAATGCATCTTGAAATGAAAAGAGCTGAATGCAGATGCAGCACTGGGTTCTTTGTTTCTTTGGAACTGAAACACAATGGAACAGATGCTCTCTTCTCTGCTTCCATAATCTAACACACATTGCAAATCATGGCATGCTGCTCTATGTATACAGTTCAGCAACTGAATTCTCTGTGATGGTAACAGGTTTAGACAGCAGAAAGATGGAGCTGATCAATGACTGTTCTGTCATCAGTGACCTGGATGCACCAATGGGACCTAACAAGACAAAAAATTTGTCATTTACATAGTACACAGCCATCTCTAAAATATTTTCGTCCATCTTGGATCCAGCTGCAGCACAAGGTCCAACAGTGTTCTTAGAGACTGACTGTGGCTTGCAAAGAAAATGCAAAGACCTGACAAGTGCCAAGTGCACACTGAAGTGCTGATAAGTTGGAAGATGTCAGGGAATTATTGTGTTCTCGAACACCCACAGTGAACAGAGAAAAAACATTTGGGGAAGGAAATTAATGAAGTACCAAGTTAGTGCCTCAGATGATTAAAGAAAATAATAATAATTTAAAAATCCAACTAATGAAAAAAATAGACAAAAATATATTGCTCTCTCCCTGGGCTGAAGTGACCAAATGAGAGAGAAGCCTACATTGCACAGGATTTTCCATAAAAAGATGCCTGAGGGAAGGAACATCCTTGAAGGTTAATGGGGGTGGGAGAAAAATGTTGCTGAGTGAGCTTGCTTAATTCAAGACACTGGTGGCAGGAAGCAGCTTTGGGACTCATAAGAGTGAAATGAATTTATTTAGTTATTTATAAACTAATTTATTATTTAAAAGAAGATGTACTCTCTGCTCTCAGATTATAAAGTCTCCAGAGTGTCAACAGTTATATGTACCAATTTAGAGAACACTACAGAAATAAGAATCTTTTCCTGTTATTACCAAATTGTAACAAGTAACATTTGTATCCCATTGAGTCACACCAGGGACAGATGGGACACTCTGTTCTCATTAGAAATTTAACAATTACAAATCCTCTAGGACACCACACTTTTTATATTTCTTCACTTGCTTTTTTTCATTTCAGTTTGCCCCTTGCTGTTAAGCCTCTTCTTGTTACCAGGCAAACCTTGCTTGTAAGAGGTAATTTATGGAGTCATAGGCCTCCTGCTGCTTTAGGGCTCCTGCAGCAGAGTCTTGGTTTGTGTCTTGTAATCCAAACCACAAGCTGCTACTTCCTCACCAATTCCAAAAGGATACACAAGTAAGGTTGCTATTCCAGACCTAGGAGATTCAGCTCAGGACACAAAGGTGTCTATGCTAAGGCAGCAACTTCCTATTTCAGGTGAATATATAAAATTTATTTTTTCAATTAGAAACAGTGAAGAACTAGACTGATGGTTCATCTGTCTGTTCAGTCAAAATAGGCATTAGGTGAAATGCCAGGGATATTATTTTGTAGGTGTGTGGGACTGCCATACATGTCCTGAGAGCCCAGGTAGAACAGCATCCTGCCTCTGTCCTCCTGCTGCTCTCTCCTGTAGAGGGAGGGCACGAGATCCCACACAGGAGGTGTAGGAAAGGAAATGCCTGAGAACAAACACACACAGGTGAGGCATTTCTGAAATGGCCTGTATCTCCTTTACAGACATTTGCCAACACATCTCAGCATGTTTCCTTGGTTTGGTTTATTACTGGGACAAACAAACTTCCTATCATACCATGACTTTTAGCAGGCTTCGAGTCAGGACTTTCCATGAGTGTAAAGACAAGTGGCCAGTTCTGCCCAGTGCAGGAGGCACTGAATGAAAACCAATAATTACATGGGTTTTAAGAGAATGAGGTTGTAAAATGGGTCCAGTACTCTTAAAGCTTATAGGTATGTAATTTAAAGACTGTCATGTATCTTTACTGTGTTATAATTTTACAACTAGAAATGTGGAAAGCTTTTACTGGGAAATTCAAAAGTCAGACTTTTAAAGGAAGACAGTACACAGGGTCAATAAGAGTTTGGTAGAGGGCTACTAAAAATAAGTTAAAATTATTTACTTATGTTTAAGCCAGTTAATTAGAGACCATTATGGTGACACCAAAGGCAATGGACTATATCTTCACTAAGTGATGCACTGCATGCAAAGTTCTCTGAAAGCACTGTCCCTACAGCAGAGCTATATCACACTCCTTATATGGAGTGTGATTGCTTTGGTTTTAACAATACATTGTTTTCCCCAAGAAAGAATCATAATAAAATTAAAGTGGCAACTTGGAAAGTTGCCATTGACAGTACCTTGACAGAATGGTTATGAAAATCAGTAATGATAATTTCATTGTTGCTGTTTACAGCTGCAAAATGAGGACCTGCAATGCAGAAAAAGAAGAAGAAAAAAAAATAGTAATACCATTAAAATAAAAAGTATGGTTAAATTAAAAAAAAATTCATCCTGCCAGCATATTATGTTTGGCTTCTGAGCAATAGTAGTCCAAGTGGGAATATCAATTTCAAATTAAGAGTAATTTTACTTCATGGTTTTTTTAACAGCTCAGAATGCTTTTTGTAAACACAAATAATTTATTTTTCAACCAGTTGTCAGCTATTATTACCAATAAGCATTGTTGATTTCTCCCTCTCTTGTATACATATGACTATGCAGAGATTTATGGCTTATTAACAAGACAAAACATGAAGTGCTTAAGCATAAAGTTGTGTATACACTGAAAATTGTTATCAAAAATGTTCCTGTAAATTCTTAATCAAAATATTTTATGCACTATGTACTCACATCTTATAAGCATTTGACTAACGAGTTTTAGGATAAATAAAATTACTTAGAAGACCACTGTCAGGAAAAAAAAGGGCATTTTTTGCTTTACATTGTGTATTGAAATATGTGTGCAAATTTGAGTAAAAAACAAATGGTAGCTTGAAAACAGGCAAGTACTCAAATTAAAACACTTGATGTTATTTTGAGTTATTAGCAGAACAGAATTCAGTTTCAGTTTTCACAGTATATCAGGGTAAACTATAAAAAAGTGAAAATTTTTGCATTGAAAACATTCAAGTATTGACAATTTACTTGTCTTCTGTAGCTTATCAGCAAGAACAAGTGATATATTTCTCAAATGCACTGTTAGGAAGTATTTGCCTACTTATTTTCAGGAGGTGTTTATGCAAATTTTCAAATGAAAAGAAATTGAGATACCCAAAAAATTTAGCTATGTTAGAGCTGAAGCTTTCAAATTATATACATTATGCCATAACACATTGCAAGAGATCTCAAGATAAAAACACATTGATGCTATTCCTTTCTTTCACTGTGAACCAGTCAAAATATCAGCCCAACGAAACTACATACTAAAAATGACCCAACACCTGTAAAATGACCTGCATTCCTAATTTTGCATCTTTATTTCAAATTTTGAAAGAACAGCTATTCACTTAAAATGTATCAGTGGGGTTGTTCTGTTTTTTTAAACTTAAATGCATGTTCTACTTGAAAGACAGCATGTGCAAGCAGTCAGTTGAGTATAAATGGCAATTTCCCCAAAATTACACTGGCTGTTCCGTAACTCTGCCTTCCTAATCTCAATCTTAACACTACCCCATTACACTCATTTTCTAGGAGATACCATTTAGGGCATTGGGTTTTGTGTGTTTGGTGACTGGAAAGAAACACAAAGTACAGCATCTGAATTGATTGTTGCAAACAGCTTAGCGTGGCAATTACAAAGCACTTATAAAATGCTCGTTAGGATCAGTCTTTTCTTGGGTCACTGATCTGAAATGTTTCCAGGCATAGGGAGGTAGATGAAACAATCTGGTTACAGCTACATTTGCAGAACAGATGTTGCAGTCTGCTTGACCAATCAAGCAAATAGGAGCTGTATGTCTAGCAGAACCTCTCCCCTGGAGGATAAAGGAGAAGATTACAGCATCTTCAACATGCTCAAACATCATGCAAATGTGAGCAGAAGAGGCAAGAAAAGGGGATTTACATATTACCATCAAGTGTACCTGCAAACTGCTTGTCACCATTTCCTCGACTTCCGAACCTGGTGACTATTTTCCCATTTGGCTGGAAGATGAAGACACAGCATGCTTTATTGTCCACTACAATGATGTGTCCGTTACGATCCACAGAAACACCTTTAGGTCCCATGAGCTTTCCAGACCCAATTTTGGCCTAAAAGGGAAAACACAAAACAGGAAAATATGTTGGCATGATAGAAATTAGTTAATACAGTTTAAAAACTGTATTACAGGCACAGAGAAGAATGGAGGGGCATTTTTTCATCAAAAGTTGGAAGCAATAATTTTTGTCAGCTCTTACCATGTACTTCATAATTTTTTTCTCCAGCTCAAAATAGTGTGTGCTTTCTGTATGTCTTTTCTAGACTGAAAAATCTGCAACCTCAGCAACTGAGTCCAAATATACAACTCATAAGAAATACAGTCATCAGATTTGTGTGACTTGATAAACCTGTCAGAAACACCTGTATATCCAGCATTAGGGTACCAGCAGGACAGGCAGACAAGCAGAAAGGAATTTTGTCTCCTACTGCATGCTGTTCCTGAGTCCAACAACCACCTTGATGGACAGGGAGACATCTTTATCACTGCCTGCATCAAAGAAATCAGAGTTGTTGGAGCATCAGGGCTGGGTGGGATGTAGGCTATGATGTCCTCTGTTGCCTTTCTTGGGTTAGTAAGACACCAGTACCTTCTGAGTGCTCTCAGAAAGAATTTGAGCAGAGCTAAAGCTCAGGCTAACCTCTCTGCCTTCCACTAGATTCCACGTGAGATTGCTTCACTTGCTGCTTAGACACATGAAGGGGCAGCTGAAAACTGCAAAGGGGAGAGGATCATGTTGCCAAACAGCAAATGAAGCAATCTTTGAAACACTAAACAAATCAAAGCTTGTTCCTGTCTTAGGTAAATAAAATTATTTCCATCATTTTAAATAGGCCTTGTGACTACCTAAACCATCTGCTGGCATAATCAGCAACAGGAGGGGAATTGTATACAATATTTCACTGGAAAAATGTTGTTCAGTGGAGATGAGATGGATCTCATAACAGTAAATTATTTGAAAAGGCTAGAGAGCTGTCAAATCCCAAAATGCTAGAAGCATGCTTTAGGAGATTTTAAAAATAAGGGATTCTTAAAAGAGGATCTAAGCAACAGAGCAAGCAGAAATTGAGACCAAGCCTTCAACGAATCCATAAGTTACCTGGGCATGTACCCAAGAAGACTCTAGGATCACCTCACAATCCATTCTGCATTTTTTACCATTCAACTCTTTTTTAGGCCAGGATTCTAGAAACTGTTTTAATCTACATAAAATCAGCTAAGATTTGACCTCTCAGTTAAAAAAGGTTGTCAATACCCAATTGCATTGGAATGGAGTAACTTGCATCCTGCTTATAGACTTTTTTTTTTTAACTGATGGACAGATTTGAAAGCACTTACTCAGGCTGGTTTCAAAAGTCCTTATTGGACAGACAATCCACCAGAGAGACTGTGCTGAAATTACGGATTCCAGAACTTTCAGATCCTGTAGTAATTTGTGACAGACACATCCTACAAACTGAGGTTCATATCTTGGTGAAGAACATACTTTTCTGTTTGCACAAGAATTTAAATGAAATATACACTAAGATATTCATCTTATTTGGGAAACAAGGCCATCTTTCACCTCACTGCCTTTGTGGAGTGGGACAGTTCACCCCCCAAGAGCAAGCAATGCTGGGAGTAAAAGAATCATTTTCGTTGGAAAAGACCTCTAGGACTGAGTCCAAGCATTAACCTGTCATATTTACCATTAGACCGTGCTCGCAACTACCACATCTACTTCTGACTTCTCTGCCCGTCCCCTCCTTCCTGCAATTGGTGAGTAGCAGTGGGATGGATTACAAGGCATTGAGAAAGTCCATTGCCTAGCTCATTTTTCTCATGTCCCTGATGTTTGCAAAGCAAACAGAAGGAGCTCTCCTAGCCTTAGTAAGCCCCATACTCCTATTTCACAGTACATTCTTGTAGGTGGGGTTGCAGGCAAACACTAAGAATAATCCTAAAATAAAGGCACCTGGGTTCCCTGAGGATGGTTGCTACTAAGCCACTACACAACCTTTTTCAGTCTCCAGTAAAGAAAATTCCAGGGAGTAAATCTTGCAGCTTCAAGACTATGCTTAGCCAACATGCAATGATCCTCTGTCAGTTTTATGTTCATGTACATATGCTGTTATAAACTGCAAAATATTTAGGCAAAATCTACCTAATTGAATCATGCTAAAATATCCCCAGGAAAAACTATTAAAAATTATTTTGTGTTCGCCAGGGGAAAGATATCAGCAGATCTACAAAATGTATTCCGTTTGCATAACAACAATGCAGTAAAGGCATAAATCAAATGCAAATCTGTAAATGTATTTCCTTTGGGGTGATTAAATCATATTCCCCTCTTGCTTTGGGATACCCATGCGGTTGTCTGCTTGAGCATTGCACCACCTCCTTACCATCTTTCCAGTATTCCTATGGAAAATGACTCAGACTCTTAAGTACAGTGTCTTCCTGCCCATATAAACACATATGGAAAAATATAACAAATAAATCACATCTACATTAATGGGCACTCAGTGCTGAGAAGAGTAATAAAAATCACTATTCTTGGGCCAGGTTTAAAATATAATTTGCAAGCAGCAATAAAGTATGCCCAGCTAGAGTTTGCAATGCTTTTTAGTAAAAATCTGTTCCCAGTTTAGATCAAAATATGCTGATGACACATTACTGTATCTGGCTGAACATATTCTTTGTATATCTTTATTTCAGAAAGTTTCTTAGAATTATATGTTTGATTATTTAGAACAGAACATTATGAAACCCAGTCACTCCTATTAAGTGTATGAATGGAAGTATTTTCAGGCTTTTTTCCATTAAAAATAAATATAGTATAATGAATCATGTAAACCCTTAATACAAATAATGTGTTTTATTGAATTCAGTCAGGGACATTAGGTCCCTTATTTTATAGGCTCTTAGGAATTTAGACTGGTTTTCAAGCACATGTTTATGAAGTTACCCTACCAGGTTGGAAAATATTGTACTGTCAGGTATTTCTAGAGGGGAAAAAAAAATCAGCTAGCCAACCTAAAAATTTATGAAGACTTTTCCACTGTAGAAGTATGCATGTTAGGGCTAAGTTTAACTTTACCGATCTTGCTGCTGTCTGAAAGGTTCAAGATTGTCAGGGATTAATTGAAAACATTCAACAAACCATCTTTTCCTGTTTGAGAACTTCTCTAATAAGGAGATACAGCTTTGTCACACTTTGCAATATCACACAATAAGTGGATTTATAATTCATGGGACTGTCAAAATTCAACCGTGACTGTTTAACCACACTACCTGTTCCCATCGGAACATGCAACCAGCTTCAGACAACTCTTCCTGTAATTCTGTTAGTGAGACAAGGAAGAAGTCTGACATATAAAATGTTTCCTTTAATCTTTTCACACTTATCTAAACTTGATATTGACTTGCAGAGCCCTGTTTGGTTGATAACAAGCTTGTCATCTTATATATATAGGTCTTCAAGACTAGAAAGAAAACAATTCTCAGAAGAACAGGAATCATTCTCTTGGCTCTGTTGTCCAGTTCCTTCCCTAGGTTTGAACACCACCTGGTGAGGAGCTGGTACAGCAGCTTCAGCATGCCCTCTCTCTCTAGCCTAGTGCAGTATCTGCTGCAACAGTTTTCTTAGCAATTTCAGAGTACTTGACAGAGGAAGCCAGCAATGTTATCTGCCTTTTACAGATGAAGAAAATAAATCACTGGGAAGTGAAATAGAAGATCACTAGTCACCCATGAGATCTGTGGCACAGCCAGAAACAGAAGCCCCAAATCCTAAGACCCAATCTAAGTCTTTATCATATCCAGGACAGTACAGCCCTTCATGTGAAGAAGCTCATGTTTTGGTGCAACCTTAAACATGAGCTCCCAGAAGTGGGAGTTTGCCCACCTCTGCATTTATGTAAGTTTTACAGCCTTGAGAAAACAGAACTCTGTCCTTTTTGCTGCCAGAACTGGGGAAGGTGACACTTTTCTGCCTGGCAGTGGAAGTTGCCAAGGGGTGTGTCAGTCCAGTGCTGTAATCGGGGACATGCCTGGGCCTGGCTCCAGGGAAATTTGCCTTATGGCTCACATGACTATTAAAATTCCACTAAGGGAGAGCGAGTGTAAGTAAATACAGAAGGAAGGGGACAACATCAAAAATAGTTAAATTAAGCTCAAAAGAGCCCCCTGATATTGCTGAGTTAACAACTAGCAGGCCACCTGCACCAGAGGTCTTACACAGTGACTTGCAGGCACAGTCCTTTGAAGGAAAATGCCACTTTCTCTCTCTCTGTTATTTCAGCAAGTACTGCCAATTTAATCTGACAAGGCCCCTGTAAGAATTACCACTGCCAACACACAAGAAATTACAAGGTTTTCCCCAGATTCCCACAGGCTAGATCTATTACAACTATGTTCTGTGCTTCCAATACATTTTATTTAATCCCATCATAGAATAATATCCTAAGTTGGAAGGGACCCACAAGGATCATTGAGTCCCGGTCCTACACCATGATGCCCAATACAAGCCCCATCCCTTCATGGCACAGACTGTCCCCATATCACAGCTTCACTCTCAGTGGACATGACCTCCCAACCCTGTGTGTTGAATACAGTGTCTTCCTGTTAAGAGTTTCTCTGCAGTTCCCCCAGGCCCTGTGCTCACCTTACCTGCATCCTTCCTCCCCAGCTCAGTTCTCCAGCTACACTGTGCAGTACAAGATCCCCTGAACCAATGCTGCACCAACACCGGAGTCCCTACTCCCATTACAGCTCCTCAGTGTGGCCCTGTGCCCAGTGCCCATCTGTGTCTCCATCCCAGTGCTCCCACTGCCTCGCTCCTGCTCTCCCCATGCACTTGCTCTGCCACCTGCCTTCCACCCAGATCCTGCACTTAGCTGCTTAGGCCTACCCTCTGTATAAAAAAAAAATACCTCTACATTTATTTTTCCTCTCATAAATATGGCTTATTGCATCCAATCTAAAAATACTATTTTATACCGTTGATGTTTCATCTCTCATTTAATCAGTCTAGTCCCAAGAGCTATGAAGTCTGATGCGTTAATTTGTAATAACCACACAAACATTGCCAACATCACACAGCTTTTGCATATTTTTTTTTGCAATCCAACAAAAACATTGACTGAAAACAAATCTAGGCTTTACATCAGAGGAATTATATTAATAATTATTTTTTTCAATACCCGTCTCCCTGCTGGTAGTATATCACACATAGGGTTCTGGCTTCTCCAGAGCTTTTTCCTCCAGAGCTGGAATCATCCAAAATTCTGGATTTACAGCATATATTAAGGAGGCAGGAAAACAAGCCCTCCATGCTCTGAGTCCAGTTCACATTAAAGATGTTAATAATTATTTAAAACACACCTAGGATAATCAGAATATTTGGATTCTTAACTAAATTACATATTTCTTTGGGTTTGTTTTGGTGTTTTCATTTCTTTTAAGGACCTCAGCCAAAACTAAGGTTTTCCTACGTAGCTATACATTTTCAAAATTACTGGACAAGTAAAATCATATTCTCTCTGCAAATGTAAATAATTTGTAATATTTTTTACCACTTGCATTACATTTTAGTATCATTTTATTTTAGCTTGGAGTCTATACATGATCTGGATACTTCTAGATGTGTACACACTGGTTTCTCAGATGGAGGTCACTGAGAACTATGCAAGCACAAACACCTATTTGTATTTGTCACTTTGCAAAGACTGTCTAGAGAAGGGCCATTTCTTGCTGTGCACATGAGCAGCTCAGAACCTGAGCTTTTTGGTCTTTAGGCTGTCAAAATTAGCTAAACAGGCTGTATCTGTCCAATGCAGGACTCCAGAACTAAGTAACTGTGGTAGAAATTTCCTTGCAGGCCCACTATCCCCATGACCAGTGAATACTTCTTGCCTCTGCCAGAGGTGGCTCTCTCTCCATCACTAGACGTGGTATCATGCAGTCAGAGAATAGCACCAAATGGAGGAAACCTTTAATTCTCTCTAGAACTGCACCTGAACCCAAGCAAAATAAATGTTGCAGCCTGGAAATCAGTGTAGTGTAGTAGCTGTTGTCTTATTTTATTCCCATTAAAGGGATTAGGGTTGCTATGAAAATATGAGGCTACTTTCCTTAGAATTTCTGATTTCTGAAACCTACAGTATCACTACTGTTGTTTTTTCAGTGCACAACACACCAGCTAGAACACTCTTGTCTGCGCTGTAGCACTGAAAAACACACTGGGCTACCCTTCCTTGCTTTTATTACCAACAGAATCATACATAAATCATACATTGTAATTGCTGAGAAGTATGGAATAAAAGAGGAGGTCATCATCAGTCAGCAACCTTCTTTTTCTCCTCCATATGTCACTGAAGAGCTTCATGTACTCCTTGTAAGATTTTGTGTTTGTCTGTGTGCATACATATATCTGCACACACCCTTCTGTACAATCAGAGTACTAATGATGTGAAGGTTGTTGAGCTAGTCCAACTAGCCTTGCTGGCACTTGCTATCCTCGATCATAAGTTACAGAAAGGGATCTAAGCACCCAGTATGGAACATGTTGTCTCTGCTTGGTGTAACATTAGCATTACTGCTGTGATCTCCTCCTATTAATTATATCATGTGGCTGGGTCGGGGGCTTCCACATCACAACAATGGAATTTAGACTAAGCTACAGCCAAACTATGTAGTTGCTTGAAAAACAGTGTTACTTTGCATTACTTTGTAAGAGTAATGAGAAGAGAAAGCTCAGGAGAATTCACATAGTAACTCATACCTTAAATTTTCCATCTGATGAGAATATGCTAACCCATTTGTTATCATAGTCTGCAATAATGATGTCACCATTGGGATGCACAGCCACTCCTGTTGGCCGCTGCAGCTGGCCAGGAGACCTTCCTCGTATGCCAAAACGGCTTTTAAACTGACCATCATTGGAAAATATCTGTAATAGAAAACAGGACATTTAAAATTATGTCCACATATTACCATCACCTATTTCTTGGAGCTTAGATTTTAGCAAGTCACAAATCAACACTATAGTCAGGAAGAGAGCTAGAAACGTGAGTCACTTTTATACAGTCCATATTTGAAAGTGATGGATCTAAATTAAGAAGACTTAATTTCAGAAAAAAAAAATCTTATTGCACTGTTTTTTCAGTGATCTTGAAGTACTTCACAAACATTAATGAATTAGCTTCACAATATCTCTCTCGGGGGGAAGGAATGGCACTATTCCCTTACTAGAAATAAGGAAACTGAGGCACTGAGTGACTCAGCAGCAGTCAAACACTAAGTCTGTAGAAAACATAGGAATATGTCCACTGGTTGTGTCCTCAATCCAAGTAGTCAGACACTGAAGTTCCTCTGAAGAGGCTGCAAATTACAAAGCATGAGGGTGCTGATGAATATTTGGTTCTGTCTCTTTGAAAAGGCCTGGAAATGAGTTCTCACGGCATGTGCCTTGCTGGTTCTCCCATACAAGAACAAGAGACACTCCACTGCTGCTGTGTTCATTGCTACCACATGGCAATGTAGAGTGATGGCAAATTGTTAATCATAAAATGGATATATGGCAAACAAACAAAAAAAAATGCAGCTTGGTTTTCACACAGGTTACAGAAGCCAAGAAATTATGGGTGTCGAGGTGCTACAACAGAAAAGATTTGATTATGATATCAGAAAGTCAGTTAAATAGACAAAAAGCCACTTGAAAATGACATCTACTATTTTTTTTATTTGTACTTCCCAAAAAAATTTATTTGTGGCACCTTGCTCTAGATTTACATTTGAAAGCATGAGTGATAAAATTTACAATGTAAAATTATATTAACAGAAAGTCATTTTTCCAGATTATTGCACAACTTATTTTTTCATTCATTGCCAAACATCATAAGGGAGGGAAATAAACTCTGATTATATACTAGATATAGTATAGATCTGAAAAAGATAGCTGCAGGTCAAGAAGATGGAAAGTTAATAGATGATAAATTAAGCCTCCCTTGTATTTTCTATATCTGCCTGAATTGTACAAAATGTGTCTTTCCAAGACTACAAAAAAGGGAGAGGTGTGGGGGCAAGGAGAAAAACACTGAAAGTGGCATATTGTCATACCTGCACACACTGGTTGTTACTGTCTGCTATTAATATTTTTCCATTTGTAGATGCAGCTACACCTTGAAGATTTGTAAATTCCCCTTTGTTTCTTCCTTTGGTGCCTAAAATTGAACACAAAGCACATAAGAAATCAAGTTAGACAGGACTAATCAGTTAGGACCCAAATGCCAACACATGCAATTATTACATTTCTGATCAAAGGATTTCTATTTTGAAGAGTTCTTCTCACTGCTACAACTTCAAAGAACCCTCTCAGTAACAGATACACAATTCTACTGACAAGACAGGATTGTTTAAGGGACTGTTCTCACTCTTCAGCATGTGGCACCCAAGCCCCCATTAACACTAATTGCCTCTTCAGCCTTCCTAAATCAGTGCTCACAAATTGCCTTTTGCATGAGGGATGTAAAAGGTTTTTACATAAGCAATGGACTTTTTTAAACTGCAGATTTTTATTCTATTGAAAGGGGGAGTACATGGGAACATACAGAGAGAGGCTAAGATAAGAACTTGGACGGATGATATGGTTTTAGCTAAGTCTCCTCAGTTAACAGATGGGATAGAACATATCACTTTGGATGGAGATGGTTCAAGAAATGGAAGTCTTCTATTCCCTCATATATTGTTTGCAGTCATAGGCTTCAAAGATTCCCTTAGCAGGAAAATTCAGATGAAGAACTAGCTTTGAACGAATGGGACTTGTAGGCCAATGAAGACCAACACCTGGAGACTGCTTTTGGAGAGATCTTGGATTGTTCTAATAAAGCAGTGTCCACACACACACAAGTCTCCTTTTAAGCCAGGATAAATGCACTCGTGAGTTACATAGAACTGCAAGTCTTTTACCTAGTGGCTTAAGGTGATAAGGAGTTGTAAAATGTCTATTTTTCACAGAAGTTCATTAACTTTAAGTGGCTTATTACTCTAGATGTTTGCTCTGAGACATTCCAAGGGGCATCACAGAGCTAAATGGTGTCTTTAAAAGACCAGCCCCAAAGTGGCTGGTCCAAATTACACCTGGAACACAGAAACAGGATCCAAATCCCTGATTTGTTTGTACAGGAGGCTCAAGGATCCTTAGAAAATACTCCAGTTATGATCTTGGACTCCAAGGTTATTCATAATAAATGAAGGAATCCTGAAACAAAACAAAAGAAGCCCACCAAACAACCACCAACTCTATAAGCTGTCCTTTCTGAGACATGGATACAGTGCTGTTTTTCCTGGTGAAATATTTTTACAAGCATTCACTGGCTGTGCATCAGGCATTAATTGGTTCCAATAAATGGTTTTAACTGAAAAACTTGTATTTAATTTTAGTCAGTCCAAAATATTCTGGAGCACAGTGATTCAAACTGTTCTGACTGTGACGTCTAATATAAGACATACATATCAGCTCTAATTTGTATTTAGCTTTCATCAGGAATGTGAATGCTTGTAACAACCCTTCTTTCTTCTGTGGTGATGGCTGTGGGATGCGTATTTCCTGTCACTGGCGAACAAGCAACATTTAATTTCTTGCACTCAAAGCTGCAGGAATGTCCCTTTGTTTCAAGACTTATTTTCTTCAACTCCATCCGCTTCATCCTTTAAACAAGGCAAACGTTTCTCAGTTTTTGTACTGAAAGGGAAAAGTACATATTCAGGGAATAGTGAGTTACATACCCATTACATTACCCATACTTGAGCCATTTCTGTTAGTCTTTTAATAAGCAGTGCCTGAGGGATGCATGCAGCAATTTTTTTTCCACCATATGCTAATGATAAGTTTCCTTCTTGCTTCTTAGCCAAAGAGAATGGATGAAAAGAGAGAAACATTCCTTTTACTACTGAGAGTAAAGGGAAAACATTTGTTAGAAAAGAGGAGGCATAAGCTAGAGCATCTGGAACTAACTAACATAAACTTTATGGAATGTATGTTCTTTAGCCTTAGAAAAACATTCTTCGAAGTAATGGAATTTTGTTTTTAAAGATAAGAGACACCTATATAAAAAGTTACTCAAAGCATTCTCCAGTGGAACCTTGTAAATATACATCAAAGGAAAAACTGAAGAAATTGCCCAGGAATGTCATAGTCACGTTTCACAGTAAGTTTAAGAAATAGCAAGTTATTAGCACAGCGTGTAGATGAAATTCAGCTCAATGCAACGTCTTTGTATCTGCACTTTGCAGGTATTAAATCTATCACCTAGCTCCTAATCTGTATACAGGCCCTTAGACAGTTCCCTCTGCAATGGCAGAAATTCCTCTGCAGAAGAAAGCTTACTTCCTAATGGATGTTCAAGAGGAAATCAGATAACTTTGAACTTTCCATTTTGAATAATTCACCATGCCAGCAAAGATCTGAAGCCAAGCACAGGCACTTCAGATGATGAGAGGAAAGCCTGTAGGAAAGCACGTCAGCCTCTGGAAAAGCAGGCTTTTGCTACTGACTCTGCAATACCAAAGGATGATAGCTCTCCTCTGTAAGCAGAAATTCCTTCCTTATGAACATACCTGCCTAAGACAGAGTCTTCAGCAAATCTTTTACTGCAAGATACTACCCCCTCTGTATCAAAGCATTTCATGTTTTGTCTTCTCTCCATCATGGACAGTCACCCATCCCTCCTTAGCCTAGGGAGGCACCAACATTTCAATTGCACAGGGCTGGAACCAGTAGGAGCCTCATTCCAGTGTTTCCCAAGCAATCTGGTTAACAGATGAAAACCTGCATCTTCTGTGCCCATTGTTGCCCAGCTTTATCTCCCTGAAGTTCTGAGTTACTGCAGGGCACAAAGGAGGAAAAGACAGATTTTACTGCAAGCTGCTGGGGATTGGGAGGAAAAAAAAGGAGAGATTTCAAAAGGAGAAGACTGAACAGAAGCAGATCTATGGCCTGTGGAATATCTTCTTTTATACCATTTTTTGTATACAGATAATGATCAAATTTGTTTTAGCCCTATCTAATTCTTTCTGGTTTTACTGAGCATAGCCTGCCCAAACTAATTAATTTAGGTCTCAACAAAGTATGCATTTTCTGCTCAAGATTATTCTGACACACATAAAATGCTTCATAATTCCAATCTTTTACTCTTGAGCAATAGAAGTTATACTGAGTCTTACCAAAAAGAAGAAAAAAAAAATCTAAAAGCCCATTAACAATGGTAGGAGATGTTAAAAATAACATCATGTAACTGTAATAAGAACCTGCTCTTTATGTCCTGGGATTCTGAACAAACTTGTATGTGTATTTTTGATGCTCATAGTAAGAGGAGTGTTTTTTGCTTTCCAAGTTTTACTAATATGAATAATAATCCCCCTACGTGTTAACCTAGATTCCCCAGCTTCCTAAAACAAAGAAAAAACATGTCAATGCCTCCAGGAGGAAGGGAATAGATTCAGAGAGATAAAATCAAACTGCAGAAATATTACAGATTATTGGGAAGACTTAAGAGGTTGTGAATGGCCACAACCTGTTGTGTAGGTACCATTTCCTTCCTGCCTACAGCACTTAAAATAATTTTTATTGGACTCTTTCCTATGTAGTACAGAAAAGAAAAAGAAAAACAGCATGGAGAGGTCTGCATACATATTGCATAGACAGGAACCAAGGAGTTTCCTTGTTTCCCAGCTTTCTTTGTTTTCCTCAGAGTGCCAAACGATATTTAATCAAAACTTACACATTATGAGGCTGTGATGCCCCCTCTAATAATAGATGCAGCTGAAACACAAAAGTCTCTGTAGTAAAACTGCACTGAATTTTTAGCCTTATGTGTTTGCTCTAAAATGAATGTCAGTCTTTCTAGTCTAAGTTCCCAAATAACCTTAAGTTTTAAAATCAGTCAGTCTGTTGTTTGAAGGCACACTGTAGCTTTTAAAGAGAAACGAATAATTCAGTGGGAACTGTGGCAGTTATATCCACACACTGTTGGTAATGAAGATGGACTGATTTGTGTTAATTTGCTTTACACAGTATCTGCCCCTAAAAGCTTGGCCAAGTTCACCTCCAAGCCCTGCTCATGCAGCAGACCCCCTGTCACCACAGACAGGTACACACAAGCCTAGGGGTAAGAGCAAATGAGAAATTCTTTGCTGCCACAGCAGCCAAACCTCAAATAAATCCAGGCTAGGTCTCTGCTGTCAGCACATCAGAACTATGCTGGGGGATTTGCCAGCAATGTAGCATCAAGAGTTCTTCCCTCCATGTCCAATACAGGTATGACTGCAATGTAATGCAGGCCTGGCAAAATGCCACACTGACCATCACAACCCCATAAAGTTCAGAATGAGCATCAGAGGGATTGGAGCTAATAAACAGGAAAAGGTATTTTCCCATTACTAAGCATTCATATTTCTACAGCAGGAAGGCTTGACCAGATGACCAAGTGTGGTCCCTTCCAACCTTATTTCTTTTGTTATTCTGTGAAACACCCGATCAAGAATCCCTTTGTTCCCTCTAAGCCTTAAAAGCCTAGTGTTTTGCACTAAAGCTATGATTACATAGACCTTGTTTGTAATTTTTTTTTATGTAGAGTAAATTCACAGTAAGGCTTCTATTTGCTTGCAGCATTTATAACAGACCAGAAGATGACATTCACACCTAGTAAGAAGGCTGACAGAAGTTCTGTTAAAGGAAATTTTTTTTTACACATTAATGTACCAGCTAAAGTTAGATGCTCAGTTACATGACTGAACAGACAACTAAACAGTCTGAGGAAAAGGAAAATTGGAACACTGAACTTTCTACCAGAGGGCAAACTCTCCATCTGGCTCTATCGGATGCCAATTCCAAATATAAGTAAATGAAGAGATAAAAGTAGTTAAAGTGGGAAATAGCACCACTACTGCTAAATGGTGTCAAAGAATCTAGTCACGAAAAGTGCCAAAAGGGGAAAACTACTAAGGCACACAGCACAGCCTGGCAGAGCTAGAACACAAGATGGGGTCCTGGACAGAGCAGCTGATGACAGCCATGCCTCTTAACCCTTCTCTGAAGGACATGGAAGAGACTTACCAGGGAAGGGGGAAGTGGCTCACCCTGTGAACACCCCTCACCTCTGCTCAGCATGAGTATAACGCACAAAAGCAGGATAATGAAAGAAAGATTTCCCTCTCACTTTAGTGCTTCCTACCAGTTGTAGTTGTAGAGGTAGCAAAACCATTGGGCAACAATTATTTTCTAGATTATCATAAGAATATTCTTGTTTGCATTTGTATAGACTTAAGGACATGCTATGCAGATCTGCATGGACACACTCTTGGACATTACACCTGTTTAAAAAGAATAGTAAGCTGAGGATATAAATTGTTGAGAGAGAAAAAGAGAACGCAGAAAATACTCTGCTGTTGTAAATAATGAATTACACAAATGTATGAATGTTTAGTCAATAATTTGACCTTGGACTGTCTGAAGAGAACCACATGCCATTTTAAAAGCCACAAATAACACAGCATTTGCAGAGGATACAATGCACACATCCCCATGAACAAAATGCACTAATGTTGTATTAATGCTAGCAGGAGAACAATCCCCTGCTAGCAGCTGATCAATTCACTTGTGCATAAAAGCCCATACATCAGCATACATACAACAGCACATTCCACAGACTTGGATGCCCAGAGGAATATTAAAGTGTGATTCTCCAACACAGCTGTACAAGCTTCTGGCAGGCCAAATAGAAGATTTATCTTGCCCGGTTTAAAATACAGGTCCAGATTTGGCCAGGGCCGTCGGAGGAATTCAACAATGGGTTCAAAACAGAGAATACAACAGTAGTGTTGGAGAACAGTGATAAACTTTGTGTTACCTCATCACAAATGAATCAAACCATAACTTTTTGAAGTGAGCTGAAACTAGAAGTAAATTAACTCCATGAAAGCAATCCTTGTGAAAATGTCAGAAGTTTTACCTTCCTCAATAATTTTGCATATTTTGGAAGAGTATAAAACCTTAGAGAACTGCAGCTGTGACCTTTCAGACAATGCATACATAAGCCCACAGAAGCCCAGAGGAACATCTCCATGTAGGGTCATTCTGTGAAATGAGCGGCTGAAAACTGAACAAAAAATATTACTCTCAGCTCAAGACATTTCATGGAGCAAAAGCTCTGAGACATGCATAGCTCTTGTTCTAATAAAATACATCTTCACGTTTTGAGTGGTGAAGAAGGGGAGAATGTAGAACTCAAAAATAAAGCACATGGTCATGGTTGCATCACAACAGTACTAAAAGGCTCTGCATTTCTGGAAAAACATTTAAGACTTCTAGAGTTTATGGTGTGTGGGAGAGAGTAGTTTCAAAAAAACCACCTAACAAACAACACCACTACCAACAAAAGCCAAACCACACCACTATTTAGTAGCCAAGCCAGAAACTGCTCACTATCCATACCAAAAGCTTTTTAATATGAATATTAATGATTTTAAAAATATCCCAAATCAAATGTATCCATTTCTCAACTAAAATCCCAATTAAATACTTGCTGCAAACTATTTTTCAAGTGTGTACTTCCAAAATGTACATATAAACCAAAGTCAAGAGGCTTAATGGTATTATCATATTATCAAGTTGCTCTACTTACAGCTTTAGCTTTACAATAACTAAACTTTTTCATTCCGTTTCCCTGAACTATTTCTAGGTATGTCAACAGGCAGCCTACCTATTCTGAAGATCAAATCATCTTCAATGGGATTCTCTTTTCTTTTGCCAGTGCTGTACATGCTCGCAGGTCTTTTCACAGCTTTCTGCTTTACATGACCACTGCCTGGAGATTTAACACGTCTCTTAACCCCTTCAGTGGTAGGAGACACATCTGCTGACCTGACCACTTTAAGTTTGAATGGGCTGCCCTTGATATGTTGATCATAAAGTCTCAGTGACAAAGTGAAGTCCCCTTCTTTCTGAACAGTATACAAAAATTCATAAGTGCCGTTTTTGTTGTCAAGTATTTCTCCATCCGCCACACTCCCATCAGGCGTGCTCAGTTCAGCAGTGAGGTAAGCATTCCCAGATTTACAGAGCTCCCCATCTTTGTCCTTGGTCGTGATGGTAACGGACATGGGCTGTCCGATCACCGTCTGCCTCAGTCCCTCACCGGTGGCAACTGTTTCAGAGGCAACAGCGTTGGTGGTTAAAATAGTCCCCAGGTTGTGAATGGACTTCTTCAGCCCTTCTGTTTCCACTATAAAGTCCAACTGATCGTTTTCTCGGGGCTGCAGCGGGAAGTCCCTCTCAGCCAGTTCATTCAGCTTGTCACTCATCTGCTTCTTCACCAGCAGCACTTCGGTTTCAGTGCCATGGTTGAGGGCTTGGGCTGTAAAGTTGCTGCAGCTTTTAATGCTTTCCTGTCCTTCTAGCAGGGTATCCAGCTGTGTCTGGAGGACCTGTGTGCATTACAGAACACCAGATTAGCATCATGTTACAAGACCTATCCCAGGAAGACGTAGTATCTAAAGGTCTTTGTAGGAATCAAATTTATGTCTTATTCTAGAGTTTAATTTAAACCTTCATTTTAGAAGAAGTAGCACACTGATCACCAACCTGTATTTGGAATACAATGCTGCAACACAAAAAAATACCCTGGTTTGGGGGTTCAAGACTTTACAGACCCACAGTCACACTAGATTGAATTATTGTCCCATCTGTCTTGTCTTGTTTGGGGTTTTGGTTTTTCTGTTTTGTTTTGGGGTTTTTTAGTTGTTTGGTTTGGGTTTTTTTTGAGCAAAAGCCCAGCAACAAATGTAGAAGTTTGAACCCTGCCCCATCTTAACTCTCAGCAGCCACAGTTAATGAGACAGTTACTAGAACTGAGTTGTGTTCACAGATGAAGAGATATTTTGCAGTCATGAGGTCCATTAATAAGAGGCTGCAAGAAACTTCTTGGTACTGTTTCTTGAGAGCCAAGGGAATCTGTGGGTTACTCCTCTGTGGAGACGAAGGCCTCAATACCTGGATGCACATCCATCCTGAGGAAAAGTGGGATTTCTGAACTAAATAAATGAAGAAAGAAAAAAAAAATCTTCCTAGCAGAAGGTAAATTGATCCCTCACTTTCAGCAGGCAAGAAAGCCAAATATACAGAATGGGTTGTGGGTAGTGGAAAGAGCTGGACTGAGTAGCCAGAAATGTTGGTGAGCAGCGAGTAGCCACTGCATATTTAAGACTATGAAAGAGCTTCTATTATAGGGTCAGTTCTGGCCCTCAGTGTAAAATCCTTAAAACAGTATTGACCTCAAAATTGCTAGGTGTGGGCTGGGAACAGGTCTAAATGTTTTTTTGTTTTTTTTTAAAAAAACAATTTTGCAGTGAATTGGAAAAAAGGATCCCTGAATTACAGCAACCTAGCAGAGACATTCATGATAGTCAAGAAAACATTGCAGCTACCCCCAACAATCTCCACTGATAAAATCCCCAAATGAAGGTACTCAGTCACACAGTTGGTATGTTTTTCCTACATAGAAGAACTATGGCACAGACATGACTGGATTAGAGAAGTTATTTTGTTAACCATCACTGTAAAGTAAATATTTTTGAAACATTTCAATTGATGTAAAGTAAACTTAAAGACAGGGTGTATTTATTGCTATGAAATACTTGTCCCTTACTGAGATACACTCTGTAATGACACTGAGTACTAAAGGCATTTTTTTCTGAATTTTCCAAAGCTTTAAGCTTTTCATCCACTGGAGAAAATCCAGGCTCATGTGTCACTGATATAGGAAAGTGATAGCAACACTAAATATTTTGCAATTAAAACAGAATGAACAATTTTCAAGACTACACTGAAATTTCAAGTCATCTGCTTTTCTAGGCACACAGATACTTCTCAGGATGCAATATAAGACATTTCTAATCTGGTTGTCTTCATTCAAAGACATAAGTAGTTAAAAGAGTATAGCCAGTAAGGTCCCAGGATGACAAAACCCCATATGCTTCAGATAACAGGCCACAAACTAAAAGAAAGACAATTTGCAGCTATGTTTTAAAATCAACACTTTAAGACAGTTTTATTTCATTATAAAAATGGAAAATATTAAAACCTAACATAAATAATACTTAAAATGCATGTAGAGTATTTTACATCTTATACTCTTTCAGTCCATTGGACAACAAACTGAACTGCCAGCTTTTACTTAAAAAATTATAGCCCTTTAATTTTTTTTTTTTTTTAAGTATACGATCAGAATGATTGTATTTGCAGGACTACTAGGCATTCAAAAATAAGAGCCAATTTCAGTTGAGGTTTTTTTATACAAACATGGTAGATGCTTCTTTTACTGTTCATGTACAAGTTAATAAAAAGTTGATTCTCTAATGCTCACAGTTATTAAATTAATCTAAATATCTTTAAACAACAAGATAATTAAACATCATATTCTATTTCATGTAGACTTTGTACATATACAGAATATATTTGCTTGCTATGGAAGTAAGTGTGACATCATGAATACATTTAGATGAACCCAGGATCTTAGTTTACATTATTGATGCTCAAACTTCAGTAAGCTGCTGCTTAGCTCTGGAGATGACTAAATTCTGTGCCCCAATGGTTTTGGGCCCCCAGTGTTCCTAAAAGTAAGTATCTTGTGCATGTTAGAATTCCTCCATTTCCACAGGCTCTGCAGTTCAGCACCTTTCTAGTGATCTAAAAACATCTAATGATGTTTTCAAGCCTATTTGACATCCAGAAATGCAGCATTCCTCCACTTCAGACATCTGGAGATACTCAAGCTGCTCAGTAATGGCACTCTTGAAACTCCAATTATTGATGGTATTTTCTTTTAAAGGCAACTTTCATGGAGAAATCTTTCTTTATAAAGCAGAGAACTGATGCATAGGAAAATAAGGACCAAATTCTTTCATTATTCTGATTCAGACCTAATAATCCTCAAAAAAAATCTCTACCCACCAGGATACAGGCTTTGCTTTGTAAAATTACAGGTTTCTGTTTTCTTCCTCTGAAGCTTGGTCTACAATACAGAGGGAAAACCATTCAGATAGAAAATAAAAGAGTGAATGAATACAGCTCTGCAGTCTGTTACTCTCCTCATCCCCCTAAGAAAGTGAGATGTCCCGCCAATCTTTTTGTATTCCAACAGGTGACATCTAACATGAAATAGCTTACCAAGCACTGGAAAGAAAAACAGTGCTTTGAAGCAAAACAGGAAGCCTTAGTTCTTCAGGACAAATTGTTTGGCCTGTATCTTCATGCTCATCTTATAAGGCTGGGCACCCACACGTGAGGTTCTGCAGCACCTGATTTCAGGAAAACAAATTTCTCTGGATCTCAGACACGATTTGTCAAACTGGCGTCCTGCATCATTTGTAAAAACTGGCTGATTAAATTAACAGCTTTGCATTGAAACAAAACATGCATCTTACTTTGTGTTTAAGGCCATAATTCACTTCCAGCTCCATGAGCAGCACACTCTTTCGCACATTTAAAGTCTTCTGGAGTTCATCAAAAGTGGAATGAATGTCATCTACGATGCTTGCCTTTTGGTTGGTTAACTGGTGTATGATTTCAGATATAAAATGAAGTGCTGAGTCAATCTCTGGAAGCCTGAGGGAGGAATTAAATTACAAAGTTTGCTGTTTCAAAAGTCGTTAAACATTGGCCCTTGCCCTGGTATCTTTTGATTAAACCCTCTCATCAGCAGGCTGTCTTTAAATATGGTCATTTCCCAGAAGTAAGCTCATTCCTTTTATAACCAACACAGTGGGTCTGGTCTGATAAAATAAGGCTAAACCACAGTCCTCCCCTGTGCAAATCCATTAGACTGTAAGCATTGCTAACAATGAGGCCTTGGATCCTCTGTCCTTTATGCTATATATCTACTCAAGAAGATATTACTAGATTTATCCCACTTTTACTTTTTTTTAAGCCATTTTGCACAGTAGTGTTTGAACCAGTCTTTTTAACATCCAGCATTATTTAACCAATCTTTTTAACATCCAGCATTATTTATTTAGCTATTAAATTGGACATTAATACTGTCCATGATTGGACAGTATTTTTCTCCTTCACATTTTATGCTCCTTCTTAGCACAACACTTGCATTTCTAATGGCCTCTGTTTTGTGAAAGACAGGAATCTTTTACTCTTTTTGCTAACCACCCAGTACATCCCACTCAATGAATTTTTTGTCCTTTTGCTAGCCTCACTATCCCTGTTTCCTAGGTAAATACCCGTGGAACCAGCACATTAAAGCATCTACACTGCTCAGCACAGGAAGCTAGTAATAAAATTGAAAATGGAAAACACTCAGTGGAGTCTCCATACCTTTTGTTGACAGCATCCAATTGAACCTGGAGGGAAGCCTTGTGTTGCTCCACCACATCCTTGAGTGGTACCGTGGGATGCTCTGCATGTTCTCCCTCTGTGCACTCCCGGCACATGGCTGTCTCACAGGACTGGCAGTAAAACTCCATCACCTGGAAAAGTGCACAATTCTGCACTCAAACATGGCAGCAGTAACATAACTCAAAGCACATCTTACTGAGTCTTGAACTCATTTATTAGCCCAGCTCTGAGACAAAGCTTCTGTTTTCTTATGCACCAATAATTTACTGCTAAAAGACAGCCATTATTCTTACATATTTTATATTAACATGCTCATTTAAAAGCATTTTATTCTATCATAAAGTGCCAGAACAGCAGTCTGTGAAGAACACTGGACATCATTGCTGGTCTTACTATTACACAGTATAAAGATTATGTCAAGTTTCTCTTACGTACTCCATGAAACAACTCAAAAAAATAGGCATTCAGCTATCCTGACTAACTCAATCATTAGTCTTCACAAAGGGTCTGCTAAAGAAAGTGTAAACTTAGGCTGTTTTTCATAACAGGGCCACTCTTGCAACACAAACTCAATGGAAATCACCAAACAGCAAGTTTATTTGCTAGAGGAAAGCACCCTAAATGAATCAACATGCTGCAGGGAAAAATCTCCATATCCTATTACTAATCACTTAATGCCTCATATCTGAGATTGTAATTGGAGTGCTGATCTACACTTGAAAGAGGAGGAGATTGTTTCAACCTGTTAAGTACCCAGCAAGATGCTCTTTAGAGATAGAAATAGATCTTTACATGTAAAAGATAACCCAAATTCTAAATATATTCATGAAGGGAAAGAAACAGAGAAGTCCTGTGCCCAAAATCACATGTTAGTCAACATAATGCACATATATGCAACTTTGGCATCAGACTTGCTTTTACAGCTAGGAAGTCCTCGGGCACAAAGCATTTTAGGCTAATTAAAAAGAATACAAGGAAGTTTTAGTATATGCTTTAAAGAAAGACATTGGCAGCTCTTTTGCATTCAGAACACAGCATCAGAATCTTGAATAATTCAGCTGATGCTTCTGGCACTCAGACATCTTTCACAAAGATGGTTGTGCTGGAGTTGTTGGTTGATGAGATGGTTGTGTAGAACCAGCTGTTTTCAGGTGTGCAGAGGGATTTATAACAGCACCAGTGCAAAATAGCTGGCTGCTCTGAGGCATCTTGAGAATTAACGGGGGGGGGAGAAACAAGAACCATGATTTCAATGTGCCTGTTAGCATTAATAGGGATTTTCCTCTGATAAGCTCCTTTACATCTTATTCCCATTCTTCCCTCTTATCTCAATTCACAAAATATGGGACTCGCATGCAGTGAGGGTTTAGTCATTTGTCAGCCACTAATATAAGCTGAGAAAATTTAAAAGTTGATCCAAATAGCCTGTGTAACATCAAATAGATCAGCAACAGGAAAAAAAAAAAAAAAAGTAGATCTTCAAAACAATGTCAACCCTCATGAACACTACTCCAGTCACTGTGAATTTAGCAGTCTCATTGTAGCAGATCCTCTGAGGCCTGACAGTTTCTTTGGTAGGCACTGTGATGTGATGCATTCTTACAGTGCATAGAGGAAATCAGTTAAACAGAGTTTAGGATTTAAGTTCTTTTCAAAAGTTTCAAAAGCCTGTAATCAGAAGCAGCCAAAAGGAAGGATATTTTAATAGGAAACTCTGAAATCTTATATGGCCAAAAAATTCACTCATTTCTTTTGCATGAGTGTCCAAAAATCATCTTTCTGCCTCTTAATAATTTAATACTTAGGTTCAAGATATTTCAACAAGTCCTTTATTTATTCATTATTTTTATCTTTGGACACAGTGATTAGAATAATTCAGTATTTCTGCTTTCTACTGAGTACCCCATAATAAACACCATTATATTTGCAACAACATATATAAGAAAGGAAGCATCTCATTGGTATAAAGGTTGTTCAGCCTAAACAATTTTCTTCCTCTTTATTCAAGCATCAGGCAAACACAGAAACTCAAATGAGAATAGCAAACACAAAGACACAATGTGTATCTCTATACAGAAATAGTTGTCTTTGACTCAAATTCAAAATGTTTTGAGAGATGCAGCTTTTATTTCCCACTACAGTTTTTGTATTGTTTATAGATGAAGGAGAAAGAAAACCTAATAATACAATTCAGGCTTCAACTGTCTAGATAGGCTGATTTCCTAAATTTTTTTTTCTAGCATCTCTTAATCAGGAAAGACTGATTTCTAACTACAGACAGGCAAGTACCACTGGCTTTTTCTCTCTCCCCTCTGTGCCCAATGTGGGCATCACATTTTGTGGCACTCCCAGAAAATTTTTCATTGTGACAGGTTTGCTTTACGAAACATCTCAGAAAATGACATTTGCCTCTACTTTCCAAATACAAGAGAGCTCCTATATTTGGATACACTGTAGCATCCAGCACTGGCTTCAGCCATATTTCCACCAAATTCAATGAGAACATTTCAGCTGTAATGACATGTGAATTAATACCTACTGGTTCTGAAATCCCATCCAGTAATTCCCACCTTAAACCAGACCAGCATATTTCAGCACAATGATGTAACTAGAGTCCCATGTACATCTTCACTACTGTAATTCAACTGAATTTACAGAAACTTTTAAAATTGCATAATCAAGGATGCAAGTACTTCTGAACTAGATTTCACAAAGCCTAGACACACTAATTTCAGCTCTTCAAAGTTCAGGTCTTGAGGGAAAAGCTCTCACCAATCACAAGCCCCTCTTCTCTAAAATCACATTTGAAAAATCACATTGCTCATTGTCTGCTCTCTAATTGAATTAAAAGAGCAGTCCACAGAAAAAGGATAGGTCAGCTCTTTGCCACCCAGCTTCCTCATGTCACACATATGCTTAATTCCTCTGTCCCAGGGCTAGAGTGCACCTTAGCTTCGTATGCTTTGGCTTTCCGAACAATGTAAATTTGAATTACCTGAGGGCACCTCTGAGATTCCTGATAAAATTTAGAATGTGGGTTTTTCTGCCTCCCTAGTCACAGCTTTTGCCCTACCCACAGATTAGACTTTAATGGGATACATGACATGGTGGGAAGTACATAGATGAGGAGGAAAAACAAGGATTTAAAAGGTAAGATATGAAGTAATTTCATCAGAATATCAAGGATAGGTGATTTTTAAATTTTTCTAAGAGAAGCATACAGGCAATAAGCAACAGCTCCAGAAGCTGAGGAAGTGTTTTTGTAAGCAAGATCTTATGCCTGTCAAGTTGGCAAGCTATGCTATGATCTTTTGAGAAAAAAGCTAGTCAGAGGCATTCTCTCTTGCTAAAAGGGTTAAATTTAATACTGTATATCCCCTTGTTACACTAGAAGCAGAAAAGACATTGCCCCACCTTCTACATTGTAAATACATGGATCCTCCACTCTGAGCTAGTTTTCTGTTCAAATTCAAACAAAACACAAGTACAGACATTTCAGAGGCTACCCCGCTCATTACATACAGTGGAGTTAGAATTTCATAGCATTCCCTGCCCTGGCTTCTATACCTGCCCCTTAATGATTGTAGATCAATGTTTCAAGTCCAGAATGCTTTTATACACAACACCTACACAGGTGTTTCACACCTGAGAATAAAGCCAATCTTATTTTAATGTGTAGGTAGAAGATAAGTCTCTCCTAGTAAGTTCAAAAGTTCCATATGTGCCCTATTGCCCTGATTTAACACTTGTGTTCCATGTTGGGTCAAAATGAGAAAGCATTTTTTTATAATTCAGGCACAGGTAACCATCTTTTGTATTAAGATACTACAAACTAAGTTTCATTCTTCATAAGAATGCACAGAACAAAGATGCCACAACAGAGGGTGGGAGGATGTGCACAGAAGGAATAAAGTAAACATACACACATATTGAAAATATGAGTGATGGGAACAGGGGACCAGCTGGGAAGGGAAAGTATCTAATCTGCATGGCCTGAGGAAGGCTAAGCTACAAATAGACAGGCAAGCAAATGAGAAAGTATCATCTATGCATCAGTTTCTGTCTCATTTTAATCAGAGAGGTTTAAGTCCAGGATGGCTGAAATAACTGAAAAAACTTGTTTAATCAGAAACTTATTTCCAAGCTAATATGAAGAAAAACTAGTAATATTTAAAGAAATATATTTGATGCAAATAGTAAAAATAAAATGGGTCTGACCTTACCCAACGCAATATGTAAAAATAAATGGAGGGTGGATTTAGTGCAGAATGACTGCTGGTTCTGTAAAGGAATTCTCCTCCAACTGCCAGCTCAATGCTTTTTCACTTCCTGAAGCTCCCAGTAAAGTTACTAGCAGCCAGGCACTTAGAATCATAGAATACCCTGACCTGGAAGGGACCTACAAGGATCACTGAAGTCCAACTCCTGGCCCTGCCAAGGACCACCCCAAGCATCACACCGTGTGCCTAAAAGCATTATCGAAATGCTTCTTGAACTCTAGTAGGCTTCGTGCTGTGACCACTGCCCCGGGAAGACATTCTGGATGAAGATGTTTTAGATATTTCCAAATATCCAACCTACTTGCCCCACAGTGCTCTTGTGTCCTGAGCCTATGAAGCCAGCATAATCCCATTTCCTCAGGGAGGCCTAAGGTGCCCAGCACCTTGCCCTGTGCACCCTTGCAGCCAGACCCACCTGGCCAGCCTCAAGCAGCTCTCCCCAAATCTTACCTCAGTTCCTTCCATCACAAGGACTAATGTGTGCACTTAGCTTTTAATTTCTTAGCTTCACACAGCTTTAAATTGGAGTCACCCTCAGCCTATCCCCAACCCTCCCAGATACTTACTGAAGTGAGAAGATGCTCCCATCACACACTACTCAGCATCCTAAATGGCACGCTATGTTTCAAGGCAAGCCAAGTTGATTTAGAGGACTTACAAATGCACCTTTCCCTATAAAGGAGTTCTCAGAGAGGTATAAGGTGGCATGTTTTTGATTGTAGACAAAACAGGTTTTTTTAAACACACTCAAAGAATAAGTAGCTGATAATTTCAAATATAAAACAAATAACACCTTAATCTTGACCTTTTTCTGCAATTCTCAATCAAATGGCTCCTATCAGAATGGCTATGTTGGAAAACAACTATGATTCATTTTAAAGAGAGTAAATAAAATGCAACCAAAAACTAGGAATGCATTAATCAGTAACCACTACATACACATAAGTATAGTGCACATTAAAAAACATTACACCAGTTATTCATTAATCAGAGTCCAACATCAGTTCTAAAAGTCTACCTAATTCCAACAAAGAAGGAACTCTATTACAGTAATCCTTATCTATCAGCTGAATTACTCCTATACAACCAATGCACCTACACTGAGTATCAAATAAAACAGCCCCCAGAAAGTTGTCTTAAACTACTGACACGTATTTCTTGGCTTGCACAGAAGCACAACATTCAGTATACAGTACAGCATTGCTGAGTTTTGTAGTCTCCACTTGCATGTTTGCATAAGCTTAGCTATGAGTCAGGAGCTCTGCCTATCATGAAGTTACACAGGTTAACACTGAAAATTGAGAAGTAAGCAGAGTTAGAGCTGTTCTTGCAAGTAATCTGTGAATATTAACTCAGTTGCTGGTATTTGCCAAAGAATATACTGATACGATTTGAGGATGTGTGTGAGGACATGCTAGGTAAAAAGAGTAGGTGGAGGGAAAAAACAAAGCCACCTCCAAGAACTGATATGAGAGATCCACAAAACACTGCAGATAAACAGAAGTGCTCTGTTTCTAGCCTGTGCTGATACAAAGCATCCTAAGTTAGGATTCACCTTTATTTGGTTCTATGTTAATACGTTCACATAACTTTTGGTACTGCCCCAGTGTACAGGGTCAGTAAAACTTATAAGGTCCTTGTCACACATTGCCAGACAAACATACAGGTACCTACAGCAACAGTTGTTGCTACAAGTACAAGGGCTAAGGAAACCCAACTCAAAGGTTCAGTACTTGCAGGACAACAATTCTGACCAAATGTGCCAGAAGACATCCTCATCCCAGATTATTGGTAAAATAAAATAACATCCTGACTATTTCAAGATGCTCCACTAAAAGCATTTGAGTTAATTTGAAGACTCACTTGTCTTTTGCTGATTTATTATAAAATCAAAGAAACAGTGTGATTCCACTTCCCCTGCTTTCTCTTTAGAAAAAGACATCCATGCAACCCAGACAAGTCGGCACATATCAATGCCTGCACATAGCACAGGAGGCTGTCTCACTTACATTTCCATCATGATTGGGGCAGGAGAGTGGTTTGCCTGCAGCAACAGCAGTGACAGTCTCCAAGATGGAGGACTCCTCAATGCTGTTGTCCGGCGTTCGCTGCAGGACATCCATCAGGTTGGTAATAAAGAAGTTGTTCTGGAGTGCAGAAACCCCTTTCTCTGGCAGAATGGAGGTCTGGCGGCACACGGGGCAAGAAAGGGTTAAGCTATGGGCTGGAATGTAATTCTGTAAACACCTATGGGGAAGGAAGGTGGAAGGAGAAAGAAAGGGAAAGTATCATCAAAGAGGGAAAAAAACCCCTTTCATCAGTTAAAGAGCTAGTTTGAAATAGTGCTACCCCTACTTGTAAAAGCACATCAAACAGCCTTCTGAAGCAAAAGTGGTTATGGGGAATAATTTTTCTTCTAAACATTTTTTAAATCTGCCACATGAAAAAAAAAATTCAATAAGCAGACATCATTAAAAGAGTTACATGCCTTTTTTGAGATATTCATGCAGTTGATCATGCTTTCAGACACCTACTGCATTCTGCTTACAGGACATTTTATGCAGTAAAAATTTTGAATTCATCTGATAAAGTCTGGCAGACATGAAGTTGCATCAAGTATTTGAGCCTGTGCCTTTAACTGACTAACCGGTGCTTGACCCTTGTCTTTCCAACAGAATTCCTTTAATAATTTGTGTTTGTGGGTTTAGTGTTTCAGAAGTAAAACATGGTCCCAATAAAACCAAAGGAAATTTTTTCATCTATTTCAATTTGGGAAGTTTTGGCAGCTACCCAAAATCAGAGTTTTCTTTACAACACAGGGAGCTACCTGATAAGTTATCACAGTTTATGTTAAGGGGAGTTTTGGGGAAAATTTTTGTTTGTATTTGATCGGGTGGGCAGTGTTGGTGTTTTTCAGAAAAACTAAATTTCACAGAATATAAACCTGACCCAAAAGTTCAGAAATCATATATGCAAAATATATGCAGAATATGCAGCAGACTGGCTTAGGTGAGACTTAAGGCCACTTTTGACCTTGGAAATGAAGTTAACACCTGGCTGGGCATGCAACATACAATCGCATGCAATATCCCATAGTAAGTATGGTCCTGTAAGCAGAAGAAGCTTTGCAGAATGCAGTTCTTAAAGGGAGCAGTGCTACACGGAATTCCTCATAGGATCCCAACTGAGAAAGTGTGACCTCACACAGCTCCACAGCTCTTGTCCTTTTAAAAGGATTTTGGTTGCACCACTCTTCATCTTCCCCTCGCAGTCCTCCTCCTGACCCCCCAGTAAGGGCTCTGTGAAAGGAGAGCCTAGGCTTTGCACATCAGCACTCCACTGGAAGAGATCTTCCAGCCTCTCTCCATAACCAGATCAGCCTAAGAGGATTACAGTGAAAACCAGAAGCTAACCTTAGGTTTTACACATGAACAGAAGTCAGGAAATGTAACACATGATGGTGAAAATCTTGTCGCACTGACTTCAGTAAGAGTTTCAGTGCTGTCTTTTTGAATGCTGGGATTTCCTGTTGTTCTACAAAAGACCAGTTCATCTAACATAAGCAGAGATCCACAATTTTTCTTTCACCCTGTGCAAAGGTAGAGATTCACACCACAATTCTTGCTAAGAGGTGGAAATCTCCTAAATTAAATAACTGTTCACACCACATACCATTTATAAACCTTCTCCTGCCATTCAATATACAATCCAGAGTTGCATTCCATCATCAGATTAAGAACTCTAACCACTAAGTCTTCAGCTAACTTCTATGCAAGTGCTGTATTTTCTCCACAATTTGATGGATAGTGCAACATTAAAGTATCATTATGCATATTCAGTTCATTCAGCCAAATACAGTAAAAGGCAGGTTGCTGGTTTATCACATCTCTTTCCAGAGAGGTTCCCACTTCAGTCAACCAAACTGCAGAATAATGAAGACATTTAATCTCAGGCTATTAATAATGCATATATCATGTCTAACTCTTGGACATTAAAGGATAGGATAATTACTTATCAGCTTAGTAAATCAACAAAGATTTTTTAAAATTGTGTCTAATTATAAGATAACCAGAATAAATTTGAGACCATTAACTTGAGGTCCAAATTCTGACTATCATCACCTTTCACACTGTAGCAACCATATTCATTAGTTTAATTAGATTTACTTTTTGTTTACTCATGCATAAAGGTAATGTATTCCAAAGATGCCTCTGCTGTTTCTTCTTCCTGCCTGCCACAAACGTGTTTTTCTACATCCCTGTCTCTCCAGCCTTCCCAGACTTTATCATGCCTTAACACCACATTTACAAGTAGAGGGAAAAGTCCCTGTCCTCTAAAGGATGCCTTGTCCTCTGCGTGCAGCATGACACAAATCCAGCATGAGGAAAGGACTTACCTCTCACAGAAAGTGTGCAGGCAGGGAAGTACTTTGGGGTTCTTGTAACGGTCCAGGCATATGCTGCAAATCAGAAACTGCTTGTCAATCTGACGGACCACAGGACTTGGGATGTTGGAGCCTTCACTGGCCATCCTAGACCACTGACATATGGGTCCTGTTCCCTTCTACCCTGCACAGTGCTGAAGCAGGGTGGGGAAAAGAAAAGAAGAAAAATGGCTTATAAACTCCATGTAATAACAAAATCATTGACTAATCCACTCATGTTTTATCCTTATGCAGGAATTCATACTTCCATATAAAATCAAAACAAGAAAGAATGAAACTTCTAAAATGGTTTATCACTGATGACAGCCAAGGAAACAGTCAGCAACATCTACAATACCGCTGCCTGAGCATTCTGGAAAGGCATGCTGCCTCTAGACTGAAAGAGTTACGGGGCTGTCTGGTTTTAAAGAAAACCCATGATAAAAACATTCTTGAGCCAATAGGTTCAGCCAGTGCTAACAAACATCCGATTTCTTACATCTACAGTACTGCTGGCAAAATGCTCAAACTGGAACTGCACCAGCAAGTCAAATGGCTGCATCACACACAGAGTTTGAAAATGATTCACCTAACAATTTTTCTCCCTTGTCAGTGCTGGTATTGCCAAAAATATTGTAGATTTTGACTTCAGGAAGCCCCCAAGAAGGAAGCTCCAGAACCAGCCAGCCCCCTGAGAGGGGAATGCTCAAATTCTGCATCACCAGTAGGGATGAGGTAGGCACAATGAAAATCCTCATGATAAAAGAAACAGAGCAAAGAAGAGGCAAGTGATAGCCACTGAGAATCAGCAACATTACAGTGAAGGATACATGAAGCACATCCAAATAATAAATGCAATAAAAATGTCATTCTAGGCAGAACTAGTAGTAAGAATCATTTTTCTAGGACTGAGGATTCTTCATAATCTGGCATACAAAGCATGGAATAAAAGGCTAAGAAAAAAGTCTACTAACTGTTAGAATTAAAATCGCAGGTTAAAGAGATGGCAGCAGGCTTGGAACACCTCGTGTCCTGGAACAAGGCACAGGGAGAAAAAAACGTATGTTCTTTTCAACTGGAGATACAGGTTATAGCCAATAATAGAATAAAATGTGAAAAGAGAAGACAGGAAGAAAAGGATGGAAGCAACCATAGGAAAAAGCAAACTGCCTGCTAAAATAGTTAGGAAAACCTGGCAAACAGAGTCCCTAGCAGGGTGGCCCAGCAGGAACTCCTCTCCATCAGCATTTCTAGCAGGCTGAAGTGCCGGCAGGCGCAGGCGCGACTGTCGCAGCACTGAGTTCTGCCAGACCTCCCGCACCCACAGCGGAACTGGGCTCCTCTTCTCTCTGAGCTGCAAGCCCAGCTGGGCTTCTTCTCTGCAGGTACACTCCTGAGGGGGTCTAACTTCTCCCTAAACAATTTCTACCCCTTTTTAGTCACCCATTTCAGACAATTTGAGATCTAGCTTGAGGGCAGTTCAGGCTTTCCAAGACAAAAACAACAAGCCCTCTGCTGATCATGGTCAAAAGTCTCTCAATTCCAGAATGTTTTGCATGACCTGTGCAGCGTTTTATCGTTAGTGTTACATTAGCTATTCTTCCTGTGCTTGAATGAATGGCACACTAGTCTGCCAGAACCCACGCTGCTCTTCCTGAGCTGTGTACTAAGCCATACGGGTATGTTTTTTCTTACGACACCGAGCAAGGGGCTATTTCTAGGATAATGACAGTGATTATGGATCATAAGTCAGCTGTGCTGGCTTCCCTGATAACATAAGTGGGGCATAGACTCAGTGTTAGCAAATACAGCAGCATAAAGTTATTCACACTTCAAATACCCAACAGCAGTAACTGACATTTAATTCAATGGAGAACACTTACGGCAGGCTCTTTTGTTTCCTTTTTTTCTGAGGAAGGGGAAACTGCAGTGATAAAAATTGCTCTAATACTCATAAGTCATGTTTGTTCATGACTCAAAAATGCATGATTTGTGGATTGATAATATTTGCATGTCTTTTTCATCTTTTTTAATATTTAAAAAAAAATTTCTTTCCCCATAGTAAGATAAAATGTATTACATAAACACAAATTTTTTTTGCGATTTAAATGCCAAAAATCACACGGAATAAACCTTCAGAGATCAATTAACAAACAGTGTTACTTTTAAAAAGCTTGCGTTAAAGGTGGCTTTACAAGAAGTGGAACCAAAATATCTGGCTTTTACAAAGCGGAGTAGAAAGACCAGACAATCAAATACCCATTAACATATTCATACATGTGGCAGTATAATACGCAGAACATCACCATGAAAAGGAACATCAGTGTTTCAAAAGGAAAATTCATTTCACCACTTACACAGCTGTGTTTGCCTCCCACTCTCCCTCCCCAAATGTTAGGGGCAGGGACCCAAATAAAACAGGGACCATAATCAGAAGCAGGAGGATTTCTTATCAAAAGCATGGTTTCCAAATTGGACACACCAGCAGTATAATTTTTTTGTTATAGACTGAACACATACCGGAAAAAGCTGTACTTAAGATATGAACGAATAGGTCTCCAGTGAGTGCTGCCTGTCATTTAACAGAAGAAAGTCCTCTATCAACCAGGTATTATTTTCTGTATTTCATCTTTCCCTTATCAAGTACAGCTACACCAGTAAATAATGCTTACACAAGAAAATCTGCTGCTGGCTGAAAAAAATAATATTGATTTAACCTGTTTTTCATATTAGTTTTTCACATTCTCCCAGTGCAAAATCGAGTAATTCTTAGTATTTCCTACACAAATCTCATTCCAGCTACTTTATTTTTCAAATGATCATGCTTTAAGCCTTGTCAACGAAAGAAACCATTAATGATTCAGAAATAAGGGCTTTTAATACTCTGTATTTTGTCTGAAATGCAGCACGCCATGACTGTCATTTATCCCCTGTGTTCACATACATCAGATTTAAAACATGCACCTGGAAATAGAATTTCATCTGTACATTTCAAGCTTTGGCCACTACCTGGTACAACTTCTCACACAAATAGTCCCTTTAAAAAAATCTTTTGAGTATGGGATTTGCAGGATTCTGCAGCCTCTCTAAGGCAATTCCACCTTTGATGTAGTCTTGATGAATGTGATGTAGCTATGAGAAGGATGATTTTGCTCATTTTCTCAATGAAAGCAACTAAACAATCAGACTATTTAAAGAAAATCTGGAGATTTTAGACAGTGTTTTTGAATTTCACCAGACACTATTTTTTCTGATTTACTGCTATGCTCGCAGCAACATAAGTTTTAAATATATTAGCAGTGGAAGATTTTACAAAGTAACACTACTTTTACAAGAAAAATGGGGGTTTTTTGGGGGGTTTTGTTGTTTGTTTGGTTTTTTTTTTTTTTTTTTTTAGCAGCATCTTCTGAGTTCAAAAACTGCCGGAATGCTTTTTCAGAGGTTCATTATGTCTCACAATCAAAAAGAGCGGCCAAAGCATGAGCTTCGAAAACAGGGCAATCACTTCTCCATGTAGTTACACTTGGTAATTTAAACATGCAAAGCGAAAGGACTAGCAAACATTGCACTAAACAAGACTTAAGCCCCCACCCATTTATCTGTGACACAAACACACACTCAAAACCAAATTCGGGTTCGCTAAACCAAGTGCAGTAAAGGGCTCTGAAATTTACTCCCTTTGTCGCCTTTTCAAGGCTCAAGGATCGCGATTTTCCCAGCCACCCCAGAAACAGCAGTACTCTTTTTCCTTCTGCTTGGAGATACGATTTTCATTTAAAATATACTAGACCGCAAAGAAAGGAGAAAACAATGGCTCTCTAAGCTAGTGGAAAGCTTTGCCCCGCTATGCATGCATGCCTCCAGGAAAGCCAGGGTGCGGCCCCACCCATATGAAAGGAACTTCCTATAGCACTGGAAAAGGGGTGGAAAAAAAATATCAAGTATAGCAAATAACAGTTCCAGAAGAGCTGTTTCAGGTAAAAAGAGAGATGTGATAGAAAAATGCACCCTTTCTACAGGTATCCTCAAATGAGCTCTGGAACTCCTGAAAATTCTCTATTAGTTTTCCAGTCGAGAAAAGACATTGGGGAATCAAGTAACTGTTCACAGGATTTTATTCCTAAAAGAGCAGAATTCTGTGTTATGATACACTGCTTGCTGTCTCTGAAATCCACCCAGCCAGAGCTGCAACTAGCCTGAAAGTACAGCCTGAGGAGAACAAATTGCTTGCAGTTTATTCATCCTCTTCTTATCAATGGTATTCACAACCTAGAGGGTCTATTCATGTACTATGAATGAATAGGTTTCCAATGGCAACGTTTCCAAAGGAACAGTTAGGCCTCCAGAGCCATAAGAAAGGGTGGGGAACCTCAATAATGTTGCTTCAAGGACTGGGAGAGCTGAGCCTTTAAAGTCCTTAAAACAGATAGATCACCTGTCCACAGTCTGTAGGAATAAAGAACACATTCAAGCCATTTCTAGCAGCAGCCCCCAGATTAGCCAATACAGAACACACTGAGCAAATTAATAATCAGAACAGCCACACAGTCCACTTGTGTAAAAGGCTTGATAAGCTAAATTTGCATTCCTTTCTCTCCCACTCTTGCAATCAGCTTAGTGCCTTGTTTAAAACACAGCAACCCTCTTCTTTCTTACAGCATGCAGAAATGTAATGAACAATCAGGGGCCAAAACAGGAGCAACCCAACAGCAGCCACCAGGAATAACACTGAGCAAACTTGAGCATTTCAGACCTACCCATCTTTGTAGAAAAATAGCTTAAATCAGTGCAGTGCTGAGGATAAAATCCTTGCAGGGACGGAGCTGCAGTTCCGCAGTAATCCAAACGAACAAACCATCATCTGTTAATATTTCAAACCTCACGCATAAAACTGCTAAGGAATCCCTATCACAGCACAATCATTATTAGATGCATGAGAGATTTTGTGCTCTAAGGAATGACGCTCCATTCCATGAAGAGGACAGGTGGAAAGAAAAATGGAAGAATAAGAGGAGGCCCAGTGAAGTCGTCATGAATTTTTTTTCTCCCTGGGTCATTTACAAGTGGGAGACCCCTTCAGGATTCAAACCAATCAATCTTTATTTAGCACATCTTTTTCTCACTCAGCCTGTGTAGAAAGACTGCAGCAAATGGTGCAAGGGATTGTGGGATGGGGATGCAGCAGAGAGCTGCAACCAGATTCGCTGGGATCTTTTTTTTTTTCCTCCCTACTCAGCAATCAGCTGTTCCGAGGCTCCGAGCACGGCCATTGAATTTGGTCACCAGAATGTTATTACAGGATTAGCAGGCGGAGACAGCTACCACTGTGCATCTGGCATGTCCATGCAGCTAAGAAATGCATATGCACATACTACTCACAAATCGGAAAAGGATTTAACTCTGAAGGAGAGAGTAAATATTACATAACATCCATTACCAGGACAGCTGCCAGAGATAAAACGAAAGCACTTCTGTTTGTAAAGAAGATAAACTTTAACACTTAATGATTCTACGTGGATTTTTCCAGGATTCTGGGTATTTATTGGAACGTAATTTTTTCCCTGCTCCAACTTTTAGAGGCAACAAAAGATCCCACAAACGTTCTTTGTCTCTCTCCAGATGTTTAAAACAGAAGCAAAGATCCTCTCCAGAAAAGTGTGCTACTGACACACAAACCAGCAGCAGCTTCTTCTGCAACAGAGCCATATATTTGATCTGACTCAGTCTCAAGTCAAATATTCAAGGCAGCAACAGTAAACTCATATTTCAAGGTATTTGAGAATCAAGGCTAACAGACTGTTCAACTTTTCTATAAACATTAATGCAAAGGTATATTATCATAGTTAAGCTATTTGCTTGCTTATATTTTTTTTTTAATTCACAGATCAACTCTGATTTTACTAGGCTGTTATCAAAGAAATAAAAAAATTCGGTGCCTGCTATTTTTCATCTATGCAGAGATGCTTGTTAAAAAGATGCTTAGGAATACACAGACACCAATGAAGTAAAGCAACATAGAATTAGCTTTGTCTTCCAGTATAACAGCTGGTGGGTTTTGCAGACAAGGTAGTATTTGCATCTCTAAATACAGTGTATCTTTTCTTTTGAAAAAAAACAAATCATATGCAAGTATTTGAGCTAACTGAGGCTAACAAAGCTTCCCACAAATAAAAGAACACAAAGCACCATTTGCATCAATAAGAAAACACGTGGGGCTTAAATACTCTCTTTGCTACCCTGACTTAATTAGGACAGATATAGATATTTTAGAAGTTTAAAATGTTGTCCAAAGCTGTTTAAGCACAGTTTCCAAGTAATATTTATTCCATTCTTGAATTGATGAGTTAAGAAGCATTAATAATCATTTAGTGTGACTGAATTTCAATCTAAATTCCTGTTGAAAATACAAATTCTGCACACATCCTTTACTTTCCACTTGGTGATCATTTAGCCAGATCATTTTATGCATCAGGCAGATCCACACTGGTTTCCCCGGACAATATGCCCACAGGGTGAAGGCATGTTGCGATCCAGTTTATAATTTGAAATGAAACATCAGGCAGCGTGTGTGCATGTATTAGGGTTTGGGGTGCCTGTGCCAAAATACTGCCCCTCTAACTCCCCTAACATGTGTGGAACTCAATCAAAGAGAGAGCACAAGGTATGTTTCATTTTAGCTCCAACATTCAGGAACAGCAGGATTCACAGTTTAAAAGAAAGTCAGATTTGGGGCATGTTTTTGGAGAGGTAGATTTTTTATCTTTGGTTCAGGGAGTTTTTTGGTTTTCTTTTTAAACTGTCTGGGGAATCCCTATTGCAAAGAACAAACAGAAGATTTCACTCCCACAACAAGAAGATCCAAGGCTTTTATTTCTGCCAGTGGAACCAAGACACATAAAACAAAAATCAAGTGATAAAAATCAGGAGTGGCACCCCCAGAACTGAAATGGAAGACTGTCGGACAGAAGCATGCAGACATCATTTAGTTGCTTGCTGTCCCTTTCTAATTTCTAACACTGCATTTACATACACTAAAACATGACCAGTATCACTCAAATAACTATTTCCATTTATGGTCAGTAGTAAGGACCACATACCCCTCAGAACCGATCCCATAACATACCTCATGGCCAAAGGAGACTGCTGGAGCCACAGCTGCAGCCACTCTGATAGGGAAATACGCCTCCAAACCAGAGATTCCTTCAAAGTGCTGTTCTCTGACAATTAACTCTGAGAAGCTGCCTGCTGACAATGAGCTGATACTCCACAAATTCTCCTGCTTCTTCAAGAGAACAAAAACGTGCTACTGTGGCAAGGGAATTGAGACAAAATGCATAGCATTTCCCTGAGGTTTTTCTTGTTACATGTTGATATGTGGGTTTCTTCTCCTCAGTGAGGAGGAAATGGATTCAATCTTGCACTTTACCCCCATAGCAGTTACAACCAGACTCATTCAAATAGGTTTACTGTATGTGTATGTCTTTTGTGCTGGGAGATCGGGGTGGGGGTGGTCATTATATGCTTTGTTTGTTGTTTTTCTGGTTTTATTTAAAAAAGAACAAGCTGCTTTTCCTCAGAAAATTGCTGCATTTCATTGTTGCTGTTGACTTATCTGTATCACTGCTGACTACAGAGGAAAGTTCTGGAGAAGAAAATACATAGTACATGCCATCTTCATAGTGCCATGGAAGAGTCATGTTACTAACAGATAACTTCTGTTGTTGTCCTCTGTAAATGTCCTGGGTTTTGAATAACTTCTTGTTTTCCCTGTTCCAAACACAATCTGAATTCATTTTCTTAGGGGGGCCATGATTAGTATGCTACCAAAAAAACTCACAGTTAACTTACAGGTCATAGGTAGATATTGATAATATTAAATAAGTCATCCAAACACTCCAAGTTAAGATTAATGGTCTGCACTGAAGCCTACACTATAAACTAACTGAATGGAGAGTAGTCTAGCTCACCCTGCTGTACAACATTTTAAGGTCAGCAGAAAAAAAAATATTGGGTTAGTTCAAACTAAATGACCAGCTAATACAGTCCCGGCAATTAAGGCTGACTGAAAAGTAAGAAATGTGAGAGACCAGAAATCAATTACCCAAAGCCAACATGCTGGAAATGAGGATTAGCCTAGGAACACAAATATAGGATAGGATGGGCTGTTACAGCCATCACATAGCTCCACACATCCCTAATTTGACCCTGGTGCCAGGAGAGCAAGTGGTGTGAAACAGCCAACCTTTGTCATTGTGGAGCCATGCCTAAAATCAGGAATCAAGGGGCCTAAGTCTTCCTTATGAGCTGGTGGCCTTTACCTTTCACCACTGTGGCTGTGTACCCACACAGACCCAGCAGCTTCCAGAGAGCAAGTGCAACTTCTAGCCCTCACTCCACACTCTCCAATAGTCCAGGCTGTAGCGCACAACATCTGAGAACAGCAACAGCTTCCTGCCACTGTGGGTTTGTAGCCAGAGGGCATGTCTGCCCCAAAAGGAGCTCTGCTAGGTCCTGGTTCCTTCCCATCAGCCACAGCCACAAGCCATGGTCACTCCCTCATCTTATGATCCAGCAGAGCAGATGCATTTTCCCAAACCTTGTGATCCAACACAAGGGATTTGTCATAGCCTGGGAGGCAAACAACTTGAAAGGTTTGCCTGGGATGTAATGCTGGCCTGCTGGAAACTTTCCCAGCAGCCCAGCACCCATCCTCCTATGACTTTGCCACATTCTTTTGCTTCCTTCTACCTTCTGCTTATGCCCAGTTTAGCTTGCCAAGGTTGCGGCTTTTGCAGCACAACTGCAGCACGGCTGGGTCAGCCTGGCCTCCCTGCTCAGCCAGCCTGAGTCTTGCTGCACTTCCTGCCTCTCTCCACCACTGAAGGTGCAAGACAGGTAGCATTAGACACAAAGTGCTTTTCTCCCCTCCGTGTTATTCTTTCTCTTCCCTCTATTGCCATTGAGGTGGCACTGCAGCCACCAGAAACAAGCTCTGTATTCTGGCATTCCTTCTGCACAGCAATGGGCTGACCTTCAGTATCACTGCCAGATGCAGATATCATTAATTAGATTTTTTAAAAATAGTTTTCAGCTGCTGAAGGCACAGGAATAACAGGAATAGAAGCCACTGCTACAAATTAAAGCCTTGCTTAATAGTGTTAAAACATGTTTAATGATTTATTCTTTTTTCTTCCCCTTTTCCCCATCCTGTAATCAAAGCTTACAAAAGGGTGAGACCCTGAAACATGGGTGGACCTCTTAAGACATCAACATACTAACACTTTATACTCCAGTTTGTAGAGGGAAGGTCATGGCTGGCATCTAATACCCATGTTTAGTTTCTCTCTTCATCCCCACAACTTGTGCCGCTGCAGTACCCCTTCTCCACCCCGTGGAGATGAATAGTCCTGCTTCTATTCCCAGAGACCCCATCTCCCAGCTGTCCTGTCCTTGGATGGAGAGGGGACCTACTGGTGGCTGCCCTGCACACACCAAGGGATAAGTCTGGCAGGTTAGAGCTTGTGTGATCACACAGTCATCACCAACTGAGAGATTATTTGACTCAGGTTTTCAGGACCTCTTTTTGAGTCAAGGCCTTGCACAATAAATTCCAAAACAGCTGGAACACACTAAATTTACTGCATGAGAGAGGACAATGCATGAACGGGCATCCATGAATCCTCAGCCAAATACCCCAAAATTCTCAAAAATGAGATTTCAAAGAGAAGGGACAAAAAATGAATGGAAAGGACATACTAAGGGAAAGAACAGGATAAAAGTATCAGGTTAAATTACAACATTAGAATTATAACTTAGGGCCCTTTCCATGTTTAATAAAATGCCATATTCTCAGGTGAGTTCCTAAAAAAGTCTGCAGTAAGGTATGTCAAAGTAATTATTTCAGGGACTAGAGGCTGTGCAGTCATAAGTAAAAGAATTTAAAATTGTATAGTTGCCATCCAAAGCAGTAATCAGAGCATCTCTACTGAAAACAACCCTACCCTGACTACCAGTACTGTTACAATCACCCTTAGAATTGCAAGTTTTGACTCTCTAGGTCTACCTATTTTGTGAACACTGACAGGTCTCTGTTCAGCCTTTATAGGCACACAGGCTCAAATAAAACCAACCTGAACTGACAATTAATTAAAACTGCACATCAAAACACTGCTGCTTCCATAAACATCTGCTGTGAAGCGTTACTTGAAATAAACATGCTCCATGAAGACTCCACACTAATTACTGTTAACACTTTCAGGAGCAGGAAAATAGGCAATAGAGCAAAAAAAAGGAGGCTGATCAGGAATCTATTTGGAAAAAGGTCCCTGGTCTTTTCTACATACTGTTAGATATAAAATATGCTGAAAAATGCTCTAGGCATTTTCTTAAGAGTTGCTGAGCAACAGGGGAAAAAAATACATGCAAGCAGAAAATGCTCAATGCTTTTGGTACTGAGCTGTGTGGTGAGAATTGTAGACACCATCCCCTCCACTCCCTCCTGAGACTGGACCTGCCCCATGCTGCCTGTCCACTGCAGCTCTCACTTTAGCAGAGCTAAGACACTTCAGGTGCTGGAGTTTAGTCACATATTCTCCGATGACCACCAAAAAGTTACTCTGCCGTTTCCATTTAATTCAGTAGGATTTTGGTGAACTAGCATGAAGTTCAAATCAGCAAAGGAGAAGGTAGCACTCAGCAATCACTACAAGCCATGTAACTTCTTCACAAAATTAAGGAGAGTGACAACCCTTTAGAATGTTTTTCTTGCAGCCTTCAAAACTCCCACTCCCCACCAAATATAACAGATGAAACACAAACCAGGAGGTAAAGAAACTCAAACCACCTTAGGTGTCTCACAGCAAGAAACAGGAGATAGAATCTAAGTATTAAAAAAAGCAAAAATGGAGGCAGAAAGGGAAGGAATTATAATTTTCTTAGCACAAAAACACATTACTGGGATAAGAACTAAGAAGAAAGGAGAAAAAAGAGGCCCTCTCCAGCATGTGAACAGCCTGAGATCAGGTTCACATCCTCTGCAACATTTATATTGTTTAAATACAAAATATTGGTTGCTGCACCTCCATATTTACCTTAGCTGTTAAACAGTACCCACCTCATTTTCTCATCCACATCCAAGCAGCAATGTTAGCTTCTATATCTGCCAAGTCTTCTTCTGAACCAAAATATCTTTCAAAAACACAGCAGTAAGTCTAAACACGTATATCGTCCTTGGGTTCAGAGAAAACCTTGCTCAAGCATTAAGCAGCAGGCAGAAGGTTACCCAGGCAGGCTCTTTATGCTGGCAAAAGTGCAATGCTGAACTTTCACAGCAAGTAGGTAAACACATAGCTATGTGCAGCAGGTAGTCTGGCAGCACTAGCAGTAGTGAGAAACAATGTCAGGACAACCTTGGCAGAAGGAGCTTTGT